GGCATTGTTGACAAGTGTCACAGTAGAAGCTTGTCTCAAATGCCACGCCATGACTAGACTCCTTACGGGTACGTCCGCGAATGTTGCAGCCTGATGCGTCCTACTTAGTGATGTGCGGGCCCGGCTTGGGCTCAAAGCCCGGGCTTGGGCTTGTGGCGACGTCGAGCCGAGCCCTGAGCCCGAGCCGAGCCCGAGCCCGGCCCAAGCCTTGGGCTTAAGCCCGGGCTTGCTCACAATACAACGAGTGTTCCGGTGCTATCAAAAGGGAATGTATTTGGGTGTAGTAGATTAATACTGCATGTACTCACTAAATTATAACCTCCAGAAGATCTACACCTGCGGAACAAGTCGAGTCGCAGCGAAGTCCACGAGCGTGCGCCTACGGCAGGCACCAGATGGTGACGCACAATCGTGCTCGGCGGGAGCCGTTACGTCTAGAATATCTACATTTTGTCTTCTATGTGCATATTAGGTCGCTCTCTCCTTATTCGGAACTCAGGGAATGGTAACGGAGCCAGCACACCCAAGCCTGGGCTTCCGGGCCGGGCTTGGGCTTGACTACGCTCCGAGCCCGGCCTTGAGCCCGCTGCCAGGCTTGACTCGGGCCAGGCTTTTTGAGCCGGGCATGGCGGGCTTGGAGGCTTTGAGGCCCGGCCCGCACATCACTAGTCCTACTTGCTTACGAAAATGCTATGACTCATCACGTAAAGCGCTCGTCCTGCCGCCCATGGACGACGGGAAGTCCGCGCTTGCTCTGACTCCATAGTAGGATTGAAAAAGCATCTCGATGCGGGAGGGCAGTGCCCAGCCAAATCAGAATCCCGACCATTATCACGACACTTTGTGAATATACTGGAACATCATAGCCGTCCGGCACGGATATTTGGTTAGTGTGCCAAACTGATCATTTTACCTGTCTACTTCGCCGTCGCGGCGGTGCTCCGGGGGCTGCGGAGATAGTAGCACCATTCTTACGTGCTCTGCCGTGTTTTTGGGCTACCGCCGACTCGGATACCAATATTATCTTCTATGTGCTACAGCATATACAGAGCGCCGCAGCAACTGCTACGGCCCGAATCGCTGGCCCATACACCCTTTCCGCGCCCGTAATCAGAAAGTTTCTTTGTGTTCAAACGAATTCGAGCACAATAATGGTTGATACCCGCGTGTTTTTCGGTAAGATTTTGAACATTATCGCCGTCGCATGTTATCTGACTCGTTATATCCAGTCGCTTGTATCTAGTCTTCAGCGGAGACGGCACCGTGACGGTGCCCTGTCAGATGCATATGTTAGCAAAACCCTTGATGAGAGTTGGAATGTTGACTAGCGGTAGCCACTGTGGCGACAAGAATACGCTAATTCGTGAGAAGAAACAAACATTTGAGGCATGCTTTCTCCGCTTAGCCTTCATACTGATATCACGCGGAAATCGTTTCTAGCTCTCTTCGGGGCTCGATCGCGCCGAATCATTAGGCTCCGGCATTTGTATCAGGCTTGAGTACATCATGAGCGTGCTTTCTGTTGTCGTCTCTGTATAAGATCGAATCAATATCTCTTCTGGAGAAAGACCCGATCCGCTGGCCATGGACACCGTACTCTGTCTGAGAATCGCCCTGCTCGTCGCTGGCTTCGTCTCCAGTCACATAAGCTCGACACCCCCCAATGCTGCCCCTCATGCAGAAGAGCGAGCGAGGTACGAAGAAAAACAGGCGTTGGGCTACGGCGAAAAGGGCTTCACTTCCAGTCACGCAGGGATTTTGTTAAAGGTCAGACCCGCGGCTCATCACATCGGGTGTACACGGCTTACTCTAAGCATGTCTCCCCTCTGTAGTACACGATCTACATGGTCAATTTCATCGATCTGCTTGTCATCTTATCCGCTGAAAGGGTTCTCATCGCCGATGAACTTCGCGCCTGGCTTCCCATCACCACCGTCGGCCGGCTTTCCATGCCACCGGCATTTGCTATTGGCACGCTTTTTATGGTCGTCGGCACCCTCATCCGAGTCGCCTCCTACAGACAACTCGGCCGCCACTTCACCTTCGAGCTCGCCATCCGAAAAGACCACAAGCTCGTGACGAGTGGGCCATATTCCGTTGTCCGGCATCCCAGCTACACCGGATATTGGGTTTACATTACCGGCATCGCGGTCAGCCAGCTTGGTCCTGGCTCGCTTTACGCTGAACTTGGGCTTTGGAGGAATCCGCTTGGCTTCCTCGCAGGCGTGTCCCAGCTGGCTTTCATGGCGCACCCTGACGTTTATATTTCGAGTGCCGAAGGAGGATTCGGCGCTCCTACAGGAGTTCGGGGACGAGTGGCTCGTATGGGCGAAGCGCACTCCTTACCGCCTGGTGCCAGGTATCTACTAGAATATTGGCGACTTCATGTAAGCAATTATATAAGCTTCCCCTGATTCCTTAAGTGACTAGTGCGTTTCAAAGCTCGCAGAATAGTGTTTGGTGTATCATCTCTGCTGTCCAGATTCAGAGCCCAGCCTACAACTGGTCTGTTGGTGTGCGTAGTACACCGAGAGTTTGCGGATCAGGTGGTATCTGTGACATCCTGGCTACAAGGTTACGTTTGACATTCGTGACACGATCAAGCACAAATATGCTAGTTTTATCTCATACATTCTATCTGAACTCTATACCCCCACGACCGCTGTTCGGCACAACCCCCGCAGCCGACCGCCCAACGCCCACACAGCACAGCGAACACGCCGCTCCGAAGGACATTACCTCTCACCGTGGCAGCATTGAATACCTGCTGATGTGCATTACCATAGATGCTATGTAAGACGGAAGCTGATGGCTTTAGTAGAAGCAAACTCCGAGCCACCAGCCTAACTGCTATGCGTGAGGCGATGTTATCGAAGGCCAGCCCTGCACTGACCCATCGTACTTTGTATCTGTAGCTTACTTTATGTATGTCTCGTCTCTGCCGTTCATTATTCACTTTATCAGCTCCATTGATTTCCTTGCCATCTTATACATTGCAGGGGTGCCCTCTCCTAGTAATCAACACCAAGTTCCCAGCTGGTTATCTGTGACCGTCGACCCGCTTTCCGTGCCTCCAGCATTTGCGCTCCGCTTCTCACTGGAGACATGTGCAGGTCAGCCCGACGTGGCTGTGACACTACCTGGTTGTGTACCGACTGAGGGGTTTAGAGCCGATAGGGCCATGAAACCTAACGATGTTGAGAGAACACCGCCGGTCCGTGCTGAAGTTTTGAGAGATGAACAGTGGCGCTGATGGTGCACGTATTGTATAGACGTATGCTCTGCCATGTCGAAATAGCTGTACGCGCCAGGCTTACATAACAGGAGCAAACGAAAAACACGGCCGCGATAGATGTTCTGTTGTACACTGTTTCACGACCGCGAGGCACGCATTCGAAGATATGCGCAGTGGCTGGCAGTGGCTGATGCTACAATGCGTAGTTGCAAGGACCACAACTCTTCTTGAAGACATGCACAATTGGTGCTCCAAGGCACCTTCAGAGAGCGGACAACTACTTGCGCGGACGAGATCGCTATTCCCCGGCGGTACCGGGGCAGTACCTACATCTTATCTTATCGTATCTTATTTTACCTTATCTTATCTCAATAGAGGGCGGGATCGCCCGATCAAGCACCGAGCGCGTCGGGATGCCAGAAGTGTACCCTCTGATGACCTCGTCCAATGACTTGCGCTGAATCCCGTGATAGCAGCGCTCCAGTACTGGCTAAGGACAACCTCTACTATATCGCTAGGGCTACAATCTCTAGGCAGATGTGGCCCCAACTTTGGGCTATCATGGTACGTGGCACTCAGCTGCAGCTTGAGTTGTTGAGCATGGTTTCAAAATCTTATGGATTCAAGGAGCTGCAGCCTGGAAGCCAAATAGAACCACTTGCGCGTGTGCTGCTGCGTATATGTGTCATGCAACACGCAGGCATAGTGTCTCCGATGCGCTGCAAAGCCTACAGAACATAACCGAGCAGGGTTGCCGCAGTTGCTAGCTGCCGTTCACACGTTCAAATATACAAAATGGCTTCTAGACTTTTACGAAGCAGCTGGATATCTCGTGCCAATTGATATCGATGTGCACCTGCCAGTGAACGTTTGAGTTATATCGCAGGGGCATCTCTTCTGATTCATTGCATCCAACCGCTTACACTCTATCTAGCCTTCGTTTGGATACGCGACGTCCAGCCGATATCAGAGTGAACCTCTACCAGCTCTAGTCAGCCAGGCAGTAAGCATGCGCTAATCTGTCACTAGAACAGCAGGCATGCTCCTTCCACAAGGCAACGCCTTCCATCTCCCACCAAATGTCCATTTTTGGCGCTGAGTCTCCGGGGCTCGTCCGCGTTGAACAGCAAGGTTCCAAAAGTATATTAAGCCCAAAAAGGCCATGTGAGTGCACCGCTATCGTAGCTGTATAAGAAGAGAACTTACAGCTCTCCTTGACGCAAGCTCCAAGCCATTAGCCATGAATACCGCTCTCTGCTTGAGAGTCGTCTTGCTCGTCGCCAGCTCTATCTCCAGTCATGTGAGCTGCACACCCCCGAATGCCGTTCCTCGTGCAGAGGAGCGAGCGAAGTTCGAAGGGCAGCAAACTTCACATTTCGGCGAGAAGGGCTTTACTGCCGTTCGTGCGGCGTCGTTGCTAACGGTCAGTCCTTCAGGCCGTCGTATCCTGCTTCATAAGCTTACTGTATGCCCACCGCCCCTCTACAGTTTATCGTGCACATCGCCAACGCCATTGCCTTGCTCACCATCCTATCTGCCGTGGGAGCGCTCGCTATTCATGAGCTCTCTGATTGGCTACTCCGAGTCGTGGCCGTCGACCCACTCGCTGTATCGCCAGCCTTTGCTATTGGCACGCTCCTCATGATTATCGGTAGCCTCATCCGATCCGTCTCCTATAAATATCTCGGACGCCACTTCACTTTCCAGCTCTCCATCCAGAAGAACCACAAGCTCATAACAAGTGGACCGTATTCCGTTATTCGTCACCCTGGCTATACAGGAGGCTGTGTCTACATGGTGGGCGTCGCTATCAGCCAGCTTGGTCCTGGCTCGCTTTATGCTGAGCTCGGCCTGTGGATGAGCCCACTCGGCTTTGCTGCGGGTGTGTGCCAGCTCGTGTTCATCACGTACGCTGTTTTCACGATGCTCTTCCGAGTATGGAGAGAGGACTCAGTGCTTATGGAGGAGTTCGGGGAAGAGTGGTTCGCATGGACAAGGCGCACACCCTGCCGTCTTATTCCGGGTGTCTACTAATATTCCAATGACTGCGTGTGAGTCTTCCTCCTTAGTTGTCATTATTCCCTTGGCTAATCAACACAGCTCGCAGGGTAGGGTTTAGAGCGTGTTTCGGTACTCAGGCGGAAACGAGGTGTCACTACACTCAAACGGTAATTGTAACGAATCGATAGCCTTATCGGACCTAAACCTACCATCGGTCTGCGCTGTGTTGAGAGTCCGAGGATCTAGTGGCATCTGTGCCCCTCTGCCAGTGGCTATAAGGTTACATATTGACATTCCTAACGGTAAAGCACGAAATCAGCTGTTTCTCCCCTGCACATCTTACTTAACTTGTAATATTCCATAGCTGCTGTCAATCTAGTAATTCTCGCGAACAACTGCTCATATTACGGTGAATATGGCACTCCGAAAAACATCACCCCATGACGTGGCAGCAAGGCATACTGTCACCAACGCTATATAAGTTGGAGGCTGATGACTCTTGAGGAAGCAAACTCTGAGCCATCAGCCATGGAAATCGCACTCTGCCTCAGAACCGCTCTACTCATCGCTAGCTCCATTTCTAGTCATGTGAGCTGTACGCCGCCAAACCCTATCCCACATGCAGAGGAACAAGAGAAGTACGAAAAACAGCGAACATCTCACTAAGGAGAGGAGGGAAGTTTCGGCCTCACTGCTACGCGCGCGGCGATGTCCTTGAAGGCCAGTCTTGTAGCCCGTCATCCTCTGTGTCCGTAACTTACGTCATGCGCATTGCGTCTCTGCAGTTCATTACATATGCAATCAATGCGGTCGATTTCCTTGCCGTCTTGTCCGCTGCAGGGGTGCTCGTCGCTTATCAATACCCAGTTTGCGACTGGCTGTCCGTGACCGCCGACCCGCTTCCCGTGCCTTTCGCGTTTGCGCTCGGTACGCTCATGATGATTGTTGGCGCCCTCGTCCGAGCTACCTGCTACAAGTACCTCGGCCGCCACTTCACCTTCCAGATTTCCATCCGAAAGAATCACAAGCTCGTGACAAGCGGACCATATTCCGTTGTCCGGCATCCCGGCTATACCGGATACTGGATCTACATGGTCGGCGTCGCGGTCAGCCAGCTCGGTCCTGGCTCGCTCTACGCTGAACTTGGGCTCTGGAGGACTGCGCTCGGCTTTGTTGTGGGCGCGGCTCAATTCGCGCTTATGGCGCACATCTCTCTGATGTTTATCCAGCGAATGCCAAGTGAAGATTCGGCGCTCATGAATGAGTTCGGGGATGAGTGGTTTGCATGGGCGAAGCGCACGCCCTGCCGCATAATACCATGTGTCTACTAAATTGTCGAACGCAGGATGTGAGTAATTTGCCCTGGTTGTCTTTTCTGTGTTTGAACTGACCAGCACACCTTGCGAGAGGATTTAGCGCTAATTGCGCGTGGTCGTGGATGCAATTAATGTAGGGAGTGCTGTAAAGCAGGGAGTTATCGCGTTTGTTTAACAGATGAAGCAATACAGATCAGCGCTGCATGATATTATGCTGGGCGATGTGCGGTACAGTACAAATCGTACTTTAACGGTCTAGCTGATCAATAAGCCAAGCTTACCCTCTTCCTCTCCCAATCCGCCAGCGCTTTCTCAACGATAAAATGTGCGACGTCACGCCGCGAGATCGTATACCCCTCCGAACCCTTGTCGTCCTCGCAGATATGATACAGCGGGCTCTGACCCTGCGTGTCACCCTTCGCGGGGCCGTTCGTCAAGAACGCTGGGCGGACGACGAGCACGCGCCTCAGGGAACCTTGCTCTGGCATGCCCTCAGCGTGCTGCCAGTCGACAGGGAGGATGTCCGGATGGTATCCGTCATCGTCCCAGTGCGTGCCGTCGGCCCATGCGAGGACACGCTCGAGCGCGAACTTATCGACGTGCGGCTGGGTGAGGAGCCACCAGTAGAAGACGCGCATCACGAACGGGAGCCGGTCGTGCGAGGAGCGCGTCGCACCCGTCGTGCTTACTACGATGAAGCGCGGCTGCCGCGCGGGGTCCCGCAGCGCCGAAGGGAGCGTGCGCAGAACGTTGAGCAGCGAGGCGGAGCAGAGGTTCTGCGGGTGAATCTTGCCGCCCCTGAGCCAGTCGATCTGCAGAGCGCCGCCTAGAGAGATATGCAGGTCAGTTGTGCATGGATGTAGCGTGACGTAATTGCGTACCAACTGAGAACAAGACGACGTCCACGTCACCTACCGGGCTCGCGGCTTGGGATTCTGCCCAACCGTGTGCTACGTCCTCAAGCTTCAGTGCATCGCCCTGCACGAGCCGAGCGTTTCCTGAGTGTATAAAGTGTTGCATAGTATCGTTTCCTTCAAAAACTGTATGCCTCCGAAGAAGGAATGTTACCGTTGCCCCTCTCTCTGAGTAGAACGTTAACATTCTCCCGGCATTATACCAGGACCGAAACGTACCCAAGAGCCGAACGGCGGTGTAACATCCGACATTCTGCGAGGCACCGATTGCATACACATTCATGACGAACTATGCAACTGTAAGATGGTGAAATGTCGAATGATAGTACTTCGAGAGGGTGCAAGTTACTCTCAGGGGTCATCAGGAGCACCATCGCTATTTAAGCCAGGAGCCACACCCGCGGCTCTGGAATGGAGACATTGCAAACGCTGCGCGCGATGCCCCACTGCGCGGACACGACCAGCCGCATCACGTCACATCGTGGTTGTTGGTAAACAATGTGCTGCCGCGTTAACGCGCTGCCTCCTGACTGGTTACCCTCTGGCGCCCCGAATGGCGCTAATAAGTGCTGAACGACGCGTCAAACGCTCAGGGCGCGGTCGCCATAGGCGTCTAAGTTCGCGTCTCTCCATGCTTCCGCCCACCCCCGCCCTGCGACATCGACCTACGCCCAGCCTGTCCAGTTTCGCCAGACCTTCGGGCGATATCCAAGCGCTGAATATCAACTCAAGGTGTGTACAGAGCACGGAGTGTCGCTTTACCTTATGATTAATATAGCATGAAAAGCATTTCGTATATCGCTCGAACAAGATGCGCTGGCTTGGACAGAAAGCTGGTAGTGTCGGGGTGGCTGGTAACAGTTCAATTGGTCAGCATAGACTTTCATAGTGATATTCGTATGCTTCTGACGGGATATCAGCTCTATAACTACGTATGTAGCCTCGGGTTTACTTCTACGCTATCAGGTGGTCCGGAATCAAGCTCGACATGCTGCTCTGAAGGACAGCTAACGGCCGACGAGCCACTTGTTGGACATCCCTTATCACGTATCTTCTAGCAACGGCATGAAATCTGTTGATGGGTCCCACCTCATGCCGCGAGCCGCCCTTCTGACGACGCAAAGCTCTGGTGGTTGTCTGCGTACGGCGGCTGTGAATACGAGCGTGGCATAAAGAGCAGGAGGTTGTTTTGCGGAGGAAGAAAAGTACGCTGTAAGTGCTGCACATCTGCCTGTAACGGCTTACTCGAACTGATCGCTCCCAGGTTTTGACCCCTCCAAATGTACGGACTGCGTGCCGTAGTCCGTGAGCCTTACGGAAGTGAGATGCGGAAAGAGGAATAAGGGTACGATGTTGCCAAACTTCTAGGTGCAGCGGAGACTGACGATCACCTAGGTGAATGATAATGTTGTACTGGAAACGAAGGATCCATACCTGCATTTTCAATACTTGGTTTTGTGCCCACTGAACGAGATGCACTGCGTTGTGCTATTGATGTCCACACTCTTACCCGTACCTGCGAAGTTCAGCAATGTGAGCGCTAGCTTCCTTAGCCCAAGCGCCAGCCTCGCTACTACGAAATCAGATGGGCCCCCTTGGAGACCTGGAACGATGGCTGTGTATTACTTAGTGCATTCGCTGCCCTTTCCCGAAACACGTGAAACTTGAGTGGACGCCGAGTGATGCTATACAGTACGACACTCTTGCAGACTACAGCTTACACTCGTCACACCGCTTTGTGCCATAGTCCGTCTGCCAATAAAAATGTCTTCGACTCGATTCGGGATACGGCGGGGGATAACCCGAGCAAGAAATGCGGCGAATTCAGTGCGGCATCTGGAAACCTCATCTTGTCTATGCTGCCTGACCTTTCATATCTTAGAAGTCGACCGACGAAACCCTCTCTGGGTGGGTGGGCATCGAGGACCATCTTACGATCAACGACGCTGGAGAGATGGAAGACTATGTCGACGACATCGACACTTTGCTAGTCTTCGTGGGTACCTCGTTCCTGCAAGCATCGCGTGCTGATCCGCGCGGACAGACTGGTCTTTTTTCGGCCATCCTTACTGCGTTTCTTGTTCAAACTTATTCCATGCTTCAAGTCAACAATACAGACACAACGAACCAATTGCTCGCCATCAGCGTGGCTACGCAGTTGCGCACCGCTGGAACAGTCATCACCGATACCCTGAACCAGACCCTGACAACCCTTTCCAACGCTGTTTCCACGCCATTCTCTCCATCTTCGGCCACACGTTGGATCAACATCTCGTTCTTCATGAGCCTCATTCTCGGCCTCGCGGCGGCCCTGTTCAGCATCCTGGCGAAGCAGTGGATCCGCGAGTATCTCAAATGGAACTCTCCGCTTGCACTCCCACGCGAAAATGTCCTCGTGCGTCAGATTCGCATGGAGGCCTGGAGGGACTGGCAAGTGTCGGCCGTCCTTTCGTCCATCCCCATCCTCCTTGAGCTTGCCATGATTCTCTTTCTTGCTGGCGTCACCATCCTTCTGTGGACCCTCGACGACTTCGTAGCCCGTATTATCACGGTCTTTGTCTCACTTTTCCTGGGCGCGTTCGCAGCTCTCTCAGTCTTGCCAATATTTACGCGGCGTTGCCCGTACAGGTCCCCGACCGCGTGGGCCTGTCTGCTCGCTGCCAATTTGCTTTCAGCCCCCGTTCACTATCTATTCCGCTTGACTGCTCTAACTGTGAAGGACTTGCGTAGTGCTATTGCGATCCGATGGTCGAACGCTCGGCGCAAGCCCTTCATGCTTCGTATTTGGTTAATCCTCACCGACAAAAGCGCCGACATCAGCCTTGATTGGGACGTCCAATGGCCAACTGTGCCGCGGTCCTGGAGAACCCGAGATCTCGAGGTTTGCAGATGCACGACGGTTCTGACTAGCCGATGGTCGCCCAAGGCACTCGACCTTATTGCAGCTGCACGCCAGGAGCTTGCATGTGAGCAGGTCATTTTCGACGAGAGCGGCAGACCCACAGACAGGCCCAGACCCGGTTGTGTACCTTCAGACGCTGCCTCCACGCTCCTGATCGACATCGCTGAAGCCTCTCATCTCCTCCGAGCTCTGGCTTGGGTGAAACAGTCGTCACAGAGTAGTCAGGTTATAGACTATATCAACGAGGCCGCGCAGCAGATCCATCCTGACCTTTCCCCCATCGCTGACGGTGAGGATGATTGGCGCGATGGAATCCGAATGGTGACGAACTGGTGCATATCCTAGTCCTCCCGGAGTGACTGTCCAACGATGCCGCAGCTAGCTCTCGGCATGTCGTCGAATGATGCCGGAGATCATCTGGTCTCGTCGTCGTTTCGAAAAGCTTCAGGTGTACGCATGCGAGACGCAACTCACCTCCACATCCCGTGCACATCGGCCACGTCAGCGCAGAAAACTCGTTCATCGGAAGAGATTGCGCTCGTTTCCGTTCTTGCAACATTCCTCAAGGCTGAATGCGAGTACTTCTCCGGCCTTGCCAACAGAACAACTCTACACTGGTCCACTTCTCAGAAGCTATGCCTAGCGAGAACACGGGCGATCGAATTATTTGGTCTGCTCTGGCGACTGCCCGCACAACGGGAGAACACGGAGACGTGGAACACTTTCCTGTTGGCCGCAGGAAGCGGTGACACTGCAGTGCACAGGCCCATCTTATCGGCAATCTCTGCGGACGTTCTATCCTTGATTCAAAACAATGGCCGCCGAGTGCAGTGGAGTTCGGAACATAAAGGACTAAGTGAGCTTCATGATGCTCCCCTAGCGTGTTATATATGCCTAACCGCTGACGTACTATGCCTAGCGTATGATTTGGAGGGCGAGACCATGTCCTCTGATTATGAAAACATTCTCTATCATTTCCCCATTAACTTCGGTGATTCGGAAAAAGGCTACGTCAACATGTTCGTGTTCGCCTCGGTTCAATGGCTTCGTAGAACCACGTTCTCCGACATCCCGCTTGTCGTAGTCACAGGCATACTCCAGAAGATGGTCTATGCAGCCGAATTCATTTCGTCTCAGGAGCGTCGTAACACCCATAGAATCGAGGATACCAGCGATGAAAAGTGGCTCTTTTGGCTGGACCTCAGGAGCGATGACTTTTTACGGCCGGACTCCAGTAGCCTCTTTCTTCGACTCATCCATGCTTTCGAGAGGTCCTATCGCAGAGACGTTCTCACTGGTAGTCAGTGGATCAAGGAAAGGCTCCATCCGGCTCTTTGCGCGGCACACATGAAAGCGCAGTGTGAGCTGGCCGGATGTCCATGGAAACACCACTCATGCGGACCGGCTGGATGGCCTCCGTACAATAGCTGTCCTCTGCTCTATAAACAAGTGGATGAACCTCGACGTGACGACCATCTATTTCCCTTAGCTTCGGTGACATCCGAAATTCTCGCCACCGGCACGCTTTCAGCTACAGGCCATCTCTTTCATTCAGACGATGTACAAAGGACTCCAGCAAAGTTATCTACAGCCGGTCTGCCCTTAGCATGGAAACGTCTTAGAGGGAATTTACCTTGGAACGGCATTGAAATGGTCGAGTCTGACACTTGCGATGGACCAATCGGTAGCACAACAGGTCATGTCGTGTCAAGTCCTGCACTTGATTCAGATGATCTTCCATCTGCTGCACCTCCTTCCAAGCCTTTGCTTGGGTCGACACCTCCTGCAAACCTCGAACTCGAGACGTCTGGCTTCATGCCAGGTGCAAAGGACTCTATTGGAAATCTAGAGTTATCTTCTTGGTATCTCCCTGTGGAGAACGACTTGCCCTTGGAAGGTTTCGCAGGAGCGAGAAGGGGTGGCATCGCCGATATCGTGCCTGAAGCTATTTCGTCTCTGGAAGATAATTGCGGGACAACCGAATGCAGAGGACGCGATTCTCGTTTACAGAACATAGCCAGACAGAAGTTAGCAGGTGACTCTTTGGCGTGTCATTGCGTGCTCTCTGCTGAGATGCGTCCGCCACACAGTCGGCCGCCTTCCTCGAGTCGCAACAATTCGCCCAGCCCGACTGCGCTGTTGCGGCGACTGGAGGTCATCACACCTGGCACGGTGGACACCGCGGGCCCGGGCAATAACCGCGCAATGCCAGAGTCTTCGCGGAACATACACACTGGCGACCCTCGGGTCGTTTGTAACGACTACTGTGTCAGTGAAGAAACAGCAGGCGCTCAGAGAGAAACTACCCCTTGCCTTCCGCTGGCAGAACTTGCCCCCTTCCATGTAAAATGTGCTCGGGGAGTCAGCAGCCAGGCAGCAACGGAGTTTGAGCTAGCTGTACGAGAAATGGTCGAAGGTGATGGCAAGAGCAGGATGGCGTCGGAGGCGGAAGGGTAGGAACAAGGCGCGTGTAAGCGGTGACATGTAAGCAACATCCGTTGTAAGGTTATTGGCAAGAAAATAGAGTACACGTCCAAGTGCTCATTGTAGAACGCTGATATCAAGATTGGCGGCCTTGCTGGAAGAGGCAAAGCACCGGTTCTGACGTTCTGGTGGCACTTGATCCAATCATTTTGCGCAAACAGATACCCTAACACCACTTGGAAATTCCCCGTCGCCGTCACGTCGCCAAGCGCGATGAGTTCCATGAAACTACATAGAGAATATCTCCAGCCTGTCCGGCAGCGTCTTCGAGTGCTCGACGGACTTTCGGATTAGCTCAACGGCCTCACTCGAGCGGGGCGTGATAGAGACCTTGAAGGGCTTCGGAAAGCTGATAGCCAGCCACGTCAGCGACATTCATCGGTGGCAAGCAATGCTAAACATACTTGATGGCGCCCGAAGTTGCGTCTTCGCCGGGCTCGATGACGTTACCCGCGTCGTCACGTGCCTTCGAAATGTCGAATGTCGCCAAGATGCTCGCGATGGTGACGAAGACGTGTGGGTGTGCGATGAGAATACCAGGGCAGATTCTAGCGCAGCCGCTAAGTTACGAAGAGAGATACTGTGCAGAGAAAATACACACCTACGACCGAAGCCGAATGCGACGCTGAGGCTGTCCGGGGCACCTTCATCACAAAAGCGCTCGGGTATAAATTTGTCTGCATCGTGGTACACGCTTTCATCATGCAAGATTGCCCTGCACAAACAATGAGCTGGTTTCCTCAGATCAGATAGATAGCAAATACCAAAAATTAGCTATAATCGTCGTCTCTGCCGGTATAAAATACCCGTGGTATTCGTCATCTTGTATCGCGGTGCGGGGTGCTACGTATGGTATTAGCATGGCAACGATCGAGGCAACGCTAGTACATACACATCGTGATCGTAGGGTGCCATCTAAATACCTCTTGCATGACAGCCCAGACGTAGGGCAATGACTCTCGGTCGGCTACCTCAGGCAGCCTGGCCTTGCCGACTACCCTGTCGATCTCCGCTTGGGCTTTCTTCTGGACGTCCGGATATTTTGCCATTGCGATAGTAAACCAGGATAGAGCCGCCGTGGTCTTATGCGGAAAGATTGGTACATTCAGTAGAAGGGAGCGGCCTCGCTGGACGCACTCACGGTATCGAATTGTCCTGCCGAGTAAGTGAGCACAGTCACATCATGCTGGCAACATGTACTCACCCGTGAAGATTCCAAACGCGGCCCACGTGATTATGTTCTCAGTCTCCGGGTCGGATTTCTCTGTTTGTAGCATCATAGAAGTGAACGAGCCGTCCGCAGTACCGCTCTCCTATAGAGACATTATTGGGTGAGAGTCTAGCTCCTGGGCGAACAGTCTGTCCTCAGGCGACTTACCACACGTTTCTTCACCTCGTAGAAGGGGACATTGCGCGCCTCGTCGGTAATCTTCTTACCTCTCTCGGCAAATTTCTGGAAACTAGCAAACGGGAACCACGAGGGAAGATATCTCACTAATCGTGCGCAATTGTCAAAACTTCGGTGCGGAAGCGGCTATGGACAGATGCGCTTACATAACGGAAATGTGTCTACAGCCCAGGCACCCGGTGCTACCGTTGCAGAGAATACTTGCATCGCTCTCGTGCCGTTCTGGATGATTTGCTCGTCCTCAGTCACGCCTTCATATCCATATGCAATTTTGAGTGCTATTCGAGCCGCGCCTCTAAACAAAGAGTGATAAGCACTATTCCAAGCTTATTCAGCCCGAGTACGCACCGTGTGAAGTGCTCAGTGAATCTTTCCGGAGTACGGAGTAAGTTCTGTAGGAAGAATGGGACATCTCTGTTGATATAGGGATAGTAGCTTCTAATGGCGGCTGGCCCCATGGCCTTCTTCAACAGCATCCTTGACTTTCGAAGGCGAGGCCCGTATCCCAGAGTGGGGATAGAGTTCTTCCATCCCGAACTGCGCGGAAGATAACTTGAACGCTCTCAGAGAGTTAAAATGACACTCACAGACCGGCCATCACAAGGTTAGGCCTGCTACAGTATATCGCTGAGCGAACCTCGAAGAGCTCATTCACGACTTCTCGTTTATTGACGAGGTAGAGCGTATCCCCAGGGATCTCCACTTTCGCGAGGTCACCTGGGAAAATCAGTAGACATGGATCGGTTGGCATGCAGAGAGAGTCGCGTCGCGCAATGCCTCACCATACATGTCTCCCCACTCCTTGAACTTGATCCATTCGTGCTTGGACGGTATCTGATGTGCGTTTCCGATGAACGGCAGTGGTTTGGGTCCCGGAGGCCGATGACGGCCCTTCCGCCTCAACTTGCCCAACAGACTGGCCAGAGCGAAGGTCAGAATAGCGGTTAAAACGATCCAGAGGAACATGGTCATCAGGACGGAGATGTCAACGTGATACAACCCAGGCTGTGTAACGTCAGGAGCCGGACTGCGCTCTATATACCGACGAAGCGGTGGGTTGTTTTTAACTCGCACCTTATGAACGCAGCGCTGACGTTAGGGGAATGGTTTAGCGACTACGTTAGACAAACCCAAATAACTCAGCTGAAACTCGCTCAGAGTTAAAGAACCGCTTCAATCTGAAACAGTGGGAGTTCTAGAACAGTGTACCCATGCTGCGGCGACTCTTTGCTGGAGCTGAAGTGCTGATGGCCGCCGTGCCAAGTCCCCCCGAGTTGCTTCAGCAATCCCGTCTTGGGCGCCACGAAGGCTACTGAAACAGCGGGGGGAGATACTGCCGGACGCGCTCTGAGTTGAAGAGTTGACTTTGAAATTCGAGCTGCCGATACACTCGTCACCTGCATCTACTAAAAAGCGCACCCTGCATATGGAGAGGGTCCATAATGCGTCCTGCTTCCAAACGCGTTAGCGAATCCGAACAAGATACGGTGATCACACGATACCAACATTTTCCTATACTCTCCGTGACGAAGCGAGAGAGTTAGGTGTATGCCATGTATAAGTTTGAGTCTTCATCCTGCATATCACTTTGTGGCTGTTATACCGAGAACCTGAACAGAAAACCGAGGTGGTGGCCGATGCTACTCAGCTTGTTGCAGCCTTATCTTTCGCGAAGAGATTAATCACGTGAAGACGTCTGTACTTGAAGCCCTGACGCGCCTACGCCTAAGTCAGACTTTTCAGCACTTCAAGCTTTCGCGCCTACTCGGTGCCTACATATCATCTTTCACTAGCACTGTTCGGGTTCTGCTGGGCTTAGATCACAGGCGACGATACAGTGCCGGGCGTAGGATTAATAAGGCAAAGCTGCTGGGCGGCTCTGGGCGCTTATTGCCGGCCGCGCTTTTTCCTCCGTGGCGCGACCAGGGCGCATTACTTTTGACGTCGACAGACAGAAGCAAGGAGGCCTGAGAGCATTGCTATCTCATAGATGGGGTTGCCACGATACTTCTGCCTGCTCATCTCGTGCAGCCGACAGTCCGACACCTGAGCCGCCTGTTTAGAGCAAGTATAATAACTATGTGCCGACGTCCGCTACAAAAATTCTGCCGGTGCAGGCTTGTGTATCTCCTCATCCGCTTGTGCCTCTGTCTTGGCCCCTGTAGAACTCAAAAAGCTGTGCTACAAATTATTGATGATGTGATTGTCAATAAACATTTTGTTCTCCGATATGGTGTAGTGGCTAACATTATCGCCTCTCACGCGATAGCCCGGGGTTCGATTCCCCGTGTCGGAATTGCTTTTGCCTCTCACCGCTGAATTAGCTGACTAAGCAGCTGCAAGCGCAAACCCAAGAAGCTTCAGGTCATTACTGGCGTCTACTCACTTCTCTTCGTGCACCACTTCCCTCAGTGCTCGTCGAAATGCAGGCAGGCGGGCAGACCCCAGTTTTCGTCATGAGTATGTGTTTTGTCTTGCGTATGAACTCATTTGGTCAAACTACGTACGTATAGACACGACGCCCGAGCGGCAGTCTGGGCGCAAGGCTCAGATTTCTAACATTACTGCTGCAAAAGTATGGTCTCGTCAATCTGCTATAACGCGTATATCTGAAGTTCACATGGTTCTTAGACAGTCGCGGACGTTATCCGAACATGTCTGGGTCCGAAAGCGATGCTGAAAATGATTCTCGACCCGATGGGTGGTATCTTGTACGTCCGCGTCGCATGGATCATGCGCGTGTGCTGACGGCATTCTCCAGACTGACCAACGATGGGAATGCGATTCTGCGAGAAATAGATGTTGCACATCCTGCAGCGAAGAACATGATTGAGTTGAGTCGGACACAAGACGAGGAGTGCGGTGACGGTACGACGAGTGTCATCATCCTAGGTGCGTGTTCTACTATTCTAGTGCTGGTAAATCCTTACAGCCATCCATAAGCCGGCGATATCCTTGCGCAATCGCTTGCACAGCTGGAACGTGACATCCACCCTGTGGTCATCATCTCCGCATACAACAAGGCGCTGAAGGAGGCCCTCGAGATCGTCCAGCAAATCTCAATACCCATTGATACGTCCAACGATGAGGCCATGCTGTCGCTCATCAAAACATCAATTGGAACCAAGTTCGTCTCGCGGTGGTCCGACCTGATGTGCAAGCTCGCGCTGCAGGCCGTTCGGACGGTCGCGCTCGACGAAGATGGCGTCAAGTCGGTCGACATCAAGCGGTATGCGCGCGTGGAAAAGATCCCCGGCAGCGAGATCGAGGAGAGCCGCGTCTTGTCAGGAGTTATGCTCAACAAGGACATCACCCACCCCAAGATGCGCAGACGCATCGTGAACCCACGGATCGTGCTCCTCGACTGCCCACTCGAGTACAAGAAGGGCGAGTCGCAGACAAACATTGAGATCTCGAAGGAGGCGGATTGGGCACGCATTCAGGAGCTCGAGGAGGAGCAGGTGAAATCGATGGTGGACCGTATCCTGGAGTTCAAGCCGGATCTGGTTATCACGGAGAAGGGCGTCTCAGGTGTGTGTATATACGGCTTCTTCGTCGCAGACTTCGTGACCCGTCATGTACAAAGATTACGCTCAGCATTTCCTGCACAAGGCGAATATCTCTGCCATCCGTCGTGTACGCAAGTCGGATAATAACCGCATCGCGCGCGCCGTCGGCGCGACGATCGTCAATCGCCTCGAGGACCTGCGCGAATCTGACATCGGCACAAAATGTGGTCTCTTCAACACCGAAAAGATCGGCGACGAGTGCGTCTGTCCTCATCGTATTCTTTGTCTGCGTGCTGAGCTTTACACAGGTACTTCACCTTCCTGACTGAGTGCACAACACCCAAGGCGTGTACAATTCTCCTGCGCGGCCCGTCAAAAGACATCCTGAACGAGATCGACCGGAACCTTGCAGATGCGATGTCTGTCGCGCGTAACGTGTTCTTCAACCCGATTCTTGCACCCGGCGGTGGCGCGACTGAGATGGCAGTCAGCGTCGGCCTGCACGTCAAGGCGCGCAGCATCCAAGGCGTCGAGGGCTGGCCGTTCCGTGCTGTCGCGGACGCGATGGAGGTCATTCCACGCACGCTTGTACAGAACAGCGGCGGGAACGCCATCCGAGTGCTAACCGAGCTGAGGGTGCGTAGCTCTCGGCTGTTTGAGTTTCTAGCTCGCTGAATTGGGCTCTGCAGGCTAAGCACGCGAACGGCGAGCATTCGTGGGGCATCAACGGTGAGACGGGCAAGATCGTCGACATGAAGGAGTACGGCCTCTACGAGTCTGCGAGCGTCAAGGTGCGTCTGCTCTCCTCTCACTGCGAGACGCGCCCTGCTGACGTGTGCTCCCAGATTCAAACCTTCAAAACCGCCATCGAGGCGGCGAGAGTGCTCCTCCGCGTAGACGACGTCGTGCAGGCGACAAGGAAGGATCGCGAGCAGGGTGGCGGCGCTGCGCCTGTTCCGGAAGAGATGCAAGAGTAAAACAAACTTAGACGTAATGTAATCAAAGGGGCGATGCTTCTGTGCATCTTTGCACATACGAACTTTACGAAATCAACGCTGCTGCCGCTGAGAGCAGTGTCTTGCTTGGAAAGGACGCGTCTACCACTGGGAGGGAGAGGAGATTCACTCCATTGGAGTCTCTTCAAAGCTTACCGTGTCAGCTGTGAAATTGGTCGTCTTCAAGGTGATCTGCCGGGTGCCGTAGGGTGACGCAAAGCTCTGGCTGTGTTAACCTTCAGGGAAAGCGGAAGGGTCACGTGAAGACTCGATGCCGCAAGGCCGCGCAAGTCGCGGCGCGGCTTTCTCACTCTCCTCTCACCTCACGGCACTGCGAGAACGCAATGTCTTTCTCGAATTTGCGTCAGGTTCAAGTGCTTAGTCATCCGAACTATGTACGGTGCGATCGGCATGCTCTTGCTATGCGACGGTGCTGGGCCAGATAACGAGGCCGCGTTGTTTCGAACTTCGAAGTGATCAGTGCTTTCACCCACGGAGCTTTCCTTCGTGCTTGTGAGCTGACTATCTACGAACAGATATCTAAAATCCTCTTGTATCCCTGGCATGTTGTCCATTTCGGGAGGATATCTGCTGCTCTGCGGCGATATCGTGAGTATCTTGCAGCAGGCCCTAAGCGCGCAGTTAACCAATTCTGCACCAGCGCACGTAATAGCACCTTGCTACCGGTATAGCGTCCTTGGCACAATAATAAACATCGTTGATATCCTGTTGTACTGTGAAAGGCAGGTATGCTGGCAGTCCGAGTTGAAACTGATAATTTATAGTACTTGCAGGCACTGCGACTAATTACTCACGGTCGTGTAGAATATTCCGCAATGCTGGAAGGAGTCGATGCTGACAAAGTAGTCTTTGAGAGCGGCGTCGCCGGCACATTCTTGGACTGAAGTTCTCACTATAAGAGCGGCAGTCGCACAACGGTAGCCCGCATTCCCGTTCATTCCTCAACTAGACGATATTCCACTCACCTATCACCTATCCTTCTCGCATCACAATTATGTCTCTTCCCCTCGCAGGCAAAGTGGCTGTCATCACTGGCTCTTCTCGTGGCATCGGCGCGGCAATTGCGAAGCGGCTCGCCGCAGACGGCGCGTCCGTGGTCATCAACTACGTCAACTCTGCGGATGCTGCGCAGATGCTCGCGGATGAGATCAACAAGGAGGGCAAGGGCTCCGCAATCATTGTCCAAGGAGACATGTCCTCGCTCGCGGAGGGAAACCGGGTTGTTGAGAGGAGCGCGGAGCACTTCGGCAAGATCGACATTCTCGTGCTGAATGCGGTACATACGATCCTCCAGACGCTGGAGGACATCACCGAAGAGGAGTTTGATAAGCACTTCACAGTCAATGTCAAGGTTCCTCTCTTCCAGGTTCAGACGGCATGCAAGTACATGAAAGCGGGTACGTTCAGGCGGTTTTGGACACAGTCTCAGCGACTGACCATGGCTTTGTTCCTCAGGTGGTCGCGTGATCCTCGTGTCCTCCAACTTGACGAAGAACTCAAATGTTGGGCCGCATATGTTACTGTACGCTGGGACGAAGGGTGCGGTGCAGCAGTTCAGTCGCGTGCTCGCCAAGGACCTTGGAGCCAAGGGTATCACTGTCAATACTGTCTCTCCTGGACCTACCGCGACCCCGGCATTCTTCAGAACGCTCAGCCAAGATGTCATCGACCGTCTCGCTGAGAATCACCCCGCGAAGCGCATCGCCCAGCCGGAGGAAATTGCGCCCATGGTCGCTTTTTTGGCTCGGGACGAAGCCAATTGGGTAAACGGCCAGAACATATATGTTAACAACGTGAGTCACGAACTATGCTGCTCGACGTTTGGAGAGTTACTAATAAAATACTCACTAGGGCACTGCGGTATGAGATGCAGGCAGAGGAGAAGTAACCAGAAATATATTACAGCATGAATGCAAAAGTTTTCGAAAGACTCCCTACACTTGTCACAGACCGTCTAAGCACCCTCTTCCATTGACGTGACCGATCATGCGCTGAGAGCTGCAGCGATACCGTCGAACGCGGGCTTCTTGACGAAGTTCTGTTATGTGAGTCCTCAGGTCAGTGTATGCCTCGGAACCGCGAGCCAGAAGACGTACCTCGTCCCAAGGGCAAGCAGCGCCCTGGCCAGAGAAGGTCGAGGGGACCCATGAGTACTTGTCAGTCCAGTCCCAGACGGTGATACCGACGCAGGACTCGACGCTCATGCAGGCGGTGATGACGCTGTTGTAGTCGGTCTTCTGCTGTGCGAGCAGCGCCGGCGTCTCCGGGAGCGTCATGCGGATGTCGAGCTCAGTGAGGGCGACCTCGACGCCCTGGGCAGCAAAGGTCGACAGTTGCGTCTGCAGGCCCGAGCCACTGACCTCGCCGACGATAAAGTGGCACTGGAAGCCGACACCGTCGAGGGGCACGCCCGCGGACTTGAGTGACTCGACGAGGCTTAGCAGCGCCGTCGCCTTCGGGCCCGCGAACTCAATGTTGTACTCGTTGATGTACAGCTTCGCGTTCGGGTCCGCCTGGCTCGCAGCCTCGAGCGCGATCTGGGGGTAGGACGTGCCGAGCGTGTTGAAGAAGACATCCGTGCGCCAGGTGCCGTCGTCGTTGAACGGCTCGTTCACAACGTCCCAGGCGTAGACCTGACCCTTGTAGTGGCCAACGAGAGTAGAGCAGTGGTTCTGGATGACTGAGGTGAGTTGTGCCACAGTGAATGTTCCGTCGGACACCCAGCTGGGGAGCTGGTTGTACCAAACGCAGTTATGTCCTGTCACGGTTGGCACTTATAAGTCTGTCTGTCTTCCATTGAGAGAACGTTAGGGACGTACCACGAAGGAGCATGGCGTTTGTCATGGCGAGGTCGGCGATCTGATCACCTTCGGTGAATGTGAACACGCCCTGCTCAGGCTCGATAGCATCCTTAGGACAATATCTCGGTAAGTCCACAAGCTGTGATAACAACAGCAGACCGGATACTGACCCATTTCATGCTGTTAGCAGGCGTGATCTGGCCGAATTGGGTGTTGTCATCGAGGATTGCGGTGTAGCCAGTGTCTGTTAGCTCAGGGTTGTCGGTGGCGGTACCGAAGTACAGCTTGCTAGCAGCCTTAGCGAGCGTGTTGAGCTTAGCAGTTGAGGTTCCAGTCGGGAGGCTGCCGCTAGAGGTGCCACTGGGGGCAGCACCGCCAGGTGACGAAGGAGCAACTGACGCAGCCTACAACACCACTTAGTCAGCTTACTCGTGAACGTGTCGCCGCCGCGAGTACGTACGCCTGGGAGACACTGCGAATAGTAAGGGTTAGACTCGACGCAGGTCGTGCCCGAAACACAAGCGGTAGCGCCAGTCCAGCCGATACCACCGCCTAATTCATGCACCGGTGGGTCAATAGCAACTATGCATGAGCAGAGAGGACTTACATTGACCCCACTCTGCGGCCTGTGCTGCCGCGAGCGGAATAAGGGCTGTGAGTGTTGCGAGGGAGGCGGAGAGCTTGACCATCTCTGTGACCTTTTTTTGGAGGTGAGCGTAAGTTTCACTGCTGGAGACGAGAGCGTCGCAGCTCGCCTTAAGTAGTCACTGCGCTTGACATTAACCCTCGTTATGGGAGCATTTTCGCAGAAATCCTGAAGGCATGTTTGGCGGTGACCTGGACATGTGAGGCTCGGAGCTCTTCGATTTCGCTCCGTGGGCTGAAGGTTGATCTTCAAAATGGTGCCTGACAGCATGCGATCCCGAGCTTGGTCCTTGGTGGCCAGCGCGTATGCCCTGGCGGTCGGCAATACTATGTGGTCGGAGGAACAGGAATGCGCGACCCGTGCTGGCTGTCGTCGGGAGCATTCGCAAAAACTGTTTGCAGGGAAATTTTCGGCATGTGAGTGATCTACTCCTTCGGTTTGTCCTGGTGACAACAGAGAACAGACCATAAACCGCGTGACAAAGTAGTCGCATGAGCACTCCTTCGGCACTGAGAGTCTATAAATAGCTCCACGAAGCTTCTCTGCAAGCGATAGAAGGGATTTACGTGCCGGCCAGCTGAAGACCTTTGGCCGTGTCGACGTGTGCAAAGGTGAAGCCGACCACGGGTTGGGAGGGTTGACAACGACGGTCCTGCACAGTAACTGTGATGGAACCCTGCGGAAGAGCCGACGGTCAGATGGCTCGTATATATTTCACACCGTCGTTTACTGTGAGAGATACAAGCCATATTCAGCGGAATCTGGGTATTTTCTTCCCACTTCGTACCCGCGCTTTCTCGTGACTCGATCATAGGCATCATCAATGTCAAGTTCGAATTTGAGTGCTGTACGCTACAGACTGACAAATGTACTACGTTGTATCACGGAGAGCCGTGCGCGTTCTTACGTTTAATGATATCTGCGGCTTCACAGAGCATTAATACGTCTCCTTCCTCTCGTGACCACATGCTTACCTTGTTCGGCTATGGCATAGACGGTTGCTATCGTGACAAGTCAGTCTCTGCTTGTTTTTGAAGTCAGGGAGTCGCACCTTGACTATGTCCAGTGAAATTCAAGGGCACGATAGATAGATCTACCACGCGAAGGTTGGCCGTGCCATACACCTGCCCACCGTCAGCTACATCGCAGGAACGCGGGATAAGGAAAAAACGCTAGAGACCTTAAGGTGATGATTTACAACGCCCCCTTTGTCTCGGGGCGTCATCGAGCATGTACCGCAAGAATCTATCCAGTTCTTATCAATGATGACATATACAAGCTTGGAAAGCATCAGACTAACGCCAAGTTGTCGTAAAAACCTTCTTCATATACTCTAGAAATACAGTAAGCCACCTGCTTCACGTCACCGAATGTGAATCCTACCAAGAAGTTGTTCATCCGACACCACTTCAGGCCCTGGCATAAATTCGCGTTCTTGACGCCGTGCATATCGTGTATATCAGCATGTCTCCGCTGTCTGAGCGCGCGCTCTCCCGACGTACCAACCATGTCCTTTAGAGGAGCCGTCTCTAAAGGCAGCTTTCGCAGCAGTTTGACTGTGTCGAGAAGAATATCCTGATCTGCAAAGCGTCAGCTGGCAATGGGAGCGGCGATACCAGGTGCAAGGGCTGCACTTACCCACGTCATGCTCGAAATATTTTGGATCAATCTCTGGGTCATTCATAGGATCAGGCGACACAACGTGCTGAATGGGATGCATTAACGATCTCCGGGTCAAGAGCACAAGCTGCAAACTTACCACAGTGCCCCGGGAAAAGCACGTGTTTGAACCTGCCGTCGCGCTCAGGTACTTTCGCCCTTTGATAAATCCCGCTGAGTATACTGCTTCAGTATGTGTTATACCGCAAGCCCCATATGTACACCTACGTATGCCACCATAAAACATGCCCGGCATCCCGATGAATTCGCAGACGGGACTAACACTGCTTGATCCGGGTCTTATTCGCTCTAGCTGGATCTTGTACTGCTCGAGTAGCCCAGCGGGCGCAGATTCCACGTCTAGCTGGGTGACAGCTGCTTTTGCTTTGGCATAGATCTCGGCCGCACGCGGGCTCACAGTGCTGACTGGCAAGAAGCAGAGATTTGCGTTGCCCATCGTAAATGCGCCTTCCTTCGCTTTGCTGGATGGTCCGAGTTAGCAAAGGAGACAAACGCAACACCAGTGCAATGCACATACTATAGCTCCAGCTGCTCCAACATGGTTTCTTCGTCACGCAGACCGTCGAAAGTCGGAAAATCGTAGCCTTCTTTTAGCACTTATTCATGCACACCTGCGTTAGCTAATGCTGGTATGCTTTGTTACCGGATTCACGTACGAAAGTACATGCTGACCATGGTGTGCTCTTGCAAGTTCTCTCCCACGCCAGGCAAATTGACTTTCGTCTGTACCCTGGCGCTTTCAAGAATTTCTCTCCTGCCGATACCGGAGAGCTCCAGGATCTGAGGAGACTTGATGGTTCTGAACATACTCAACGAGTTTAATGGCTCTAAGATATCATGCGAGGAAAGACCTACCCAGCAGAGATGATCACTTCCCGCACCGAATGGGCGACGTAAGATTGCCCTCCATAAACAAATTCGACGCCGGTAGCTACCAGGTTCTGGTCGTGATCTGATCCGCTGAAGACGACTTTGCTTGCTAAGGCTTGCGTGAGTATGGTGAGATTGGCGCGGTCTTTGACCGGCATGTAGTATGCCTGTCGAACAGGTCCGTTATAACTAGAGGAACGAGCTGCAAAACGATATAGCCCACCGTGGCAGCGCTGGACCTGGTCGCCGTGCGGCAGTCGTGGCTGTTCAGAGGTACAAAGTACCCCGTCAGCTTCAGGTTACAATAAGTTTTGGCAAGGGCAGCGAAAGCAATTAAAGTACGCACATCACCGCCATACTTCGAGGTCCTGTGAGAAAGAGGTCAGGGAGTAACTACTGTGGACTTACTGGCTGAGGCGCTTCAGGTAAACCCGCATTCTCAAACATCTGGAGCGCCTATGTCAGCCCGTACTTCCATCAACGTGCTGTCGGGCATGTGACTCGCCTCTTTGATGTTCTGGGCGAATTCGCTTATGGTCTTTGGGTACGAGATCGGATGAACCCCTACAGAACCCGTAACATGTTAATGACGCAGTACTGCATGACTAAAGGATAATAACAACCGTCTCGTCCTACAACTCCTTCGTAAAGCGGCAAGTTAAACTTCATTCTCTGGTCTTCCGGAGGTGCAATAAAGCTAACACGAAGCGTCCATGTCATCTAGCGCAGGCGACATCTAATCAGAGACGTACTTTTCCACTTTCGCCGAATACTTCTGATAGCTCTCCCAGTTCCAGCCCGGGTTTCCAAGGCGTTCGATGTCTGAGGGCAGAGATGAGCTTACGGCTACTTTGGTATGCAAAAAGAGGAGTACCGTTTATTTCTTCGGCTGATGGTTTGGTCCACACCATGAAGTTGATTGTAGACGAACCGCCGAGACCTTTGCCTCTGGCATGATAACTCAGGCTGTTGATATGTAGAAAACAAGGACTGCTGGAGACGTACCTCGCCCATGGCATTACTTTGTCGGCAAAGAGCCTTTGCTTAGTCTATGCCGATTGTCAGAGATCACCGATTACGCAAAGAGGCAGCAAAATAGAGCTTACAGTAACATGTCCCCAGTCGTAGAGCGTGTTCCCAAAATGTCTCGAGAACTTCGCCGGAGTTACTAATGTCCCAGGTATAAGTTATAGAATGGACTAGGACGCGAAGAACTGACATAGCTCCGGATCCTCAAGGTTCGCATTGCCAGCTTCTAATACCAAAACTGTGATGGCGGGATCCTCAGATAGGCGGGCTGCTAACGTCAAACCGGCAGATCCTGCACCTGTGCGGTATTAGTCAGAACATCCAGATGCAGCATCGGCAGTGCCGCAGGGGGCATACCAATGATAATGTAATCGAAAGCCTTATTCGCCACGTCTTGCAAGTTAGCTATGGACATAATGAATATCCCGCCCGAAGGTAGTGAAGACAGCAAATAGTCGAGAGGAAGCTTCGTAGGACTCCATAACTCGGATATATATGTTCGTCCCAGGTCTCCGGACTGACTACTGAAACATCGGTATGCGTCCGAGGGATAGCGCCAGCGCCTAGCTGAGACAAAGTTTGGCGCACAAAAACACTTTTTTAGCTCCGACTACAACGGCTGCCAAGAATAGCTAGCGTACAGCACTGAGATCTACTGAGATTTGAGACACTTTATTTGTTTCGCCTATTTTATGTGCTAACCTCGTCCTGCGAGCTGCACTCCTCGGCGAAAGAAACCCTGACACCGAGTACCTAGTAGACACCTGGCAGCAGACGGTAAGGCGTGCGGCTCGCCCACGCCAGCCACTTGTCCTTGAACTCCTCCTTGAGCGCCGCATCCTCCTTCAGCACCCGAAGGTGAGCCGTCAGGCCCATATACGCGATGAAAACGAGCTGACACATGCCCACGACAAGGCCGAGAGGGTTCTTCCAAAGGCCGAGCTCAGAGTAGAGCGAGCCGGGGCCAAGCTGGCTGACTGCGACGCCAAGCATGTAGATATAAGCACCTGTATAGCTGGGGTGCCGGACGATGGCGTACGGCCCGCTTGTCACGAGCTGATGGTTCTTCCGGATGGAAAGCTGGAAGGTGAAGTAGCGGCCGAGGTATCTATAGGAGACGACGCGAATGAGGGCACCCAGGGCCATGAGAAGGGTACCGACGACGAACGCCGGAGAAATGGAGAGGGGGTCGACGTTCACGGATAGCCAGTCGTGTCTCATCTGGGCGATGGGTACTCCCACGGAGGATAGGATAGTAAGGAAATAGATGACATTGACAGTGTAGATGGTGTACTGCGGGGTGGTGGTGTAGGTAGCGTAAGTTGTCAGCGGCGACTGAGACGACTTGGAAGACTAACCTTTGTCACCGACGCCGCGTGCAAGGCAGTGAAGCACTTCTCTCCGATTTTTGAGGCTGTCTGTGCTTCATACTTCGCTCGCTCTTCCACCTCAGGAGTGGCATTGGGGGATGTGAGGGAGTGGTGGCTGGAAATGGAGCTAACGACGAGGAGGATAACCCTCGAGCAGAGTGCGATGTCCATGGTAGCGAGTTGTGATCTTCTCTCAGGAGTGCCATCCTCTGCTGTCTTATGTAGTGGCCACGGCAGCCTCTGCGCTCAAGCGTTCATGACCGATCCCCTAGAATGGTTGTTGAACCGCGCGCACCTCGGAGTGACCGAGCGATGAGACATCTACACCGTGACAAGCGCCAGAAGCATTGAATGTTTATGAGACATTTGTAGTAAGAGGTGTGATACGGTGCACTACCTGCCTGGGTTCTCGCAGGCCGTTTAGAGTCTTAGGTTCTGGCTCGCTCCCGTTCGGTCCCGGCTCCGGTGGCGGCCGGTGGGTCTGGCTTTGCGGGCGAGGCTATGGAGTACGGACAGTCAGAGGGACACCAGTTCGCCCCCATGCGAACTGCGAATGGATTTGTGTCACACTGGTGCCTTGTGACGATCGCTTAATCCATGGAGGAGGAAGAAGTTTACTCAGCGTGTGGAAGCAGCCTAGTTGCCCACCGAGCGACGTAAATCAGCACACGACAAATGCGAGCAGGGTATCAGCATGGTCAGCCTAGTCTTCTATCTCTCCGGTTTGTTGGTCTTGAGATGGTCTTCGATGCCCGCCCATCCATTGGTGCCACGCCCCTGCGTGACATCCGCAGGCAGAACACAGCATCGATGGGGACACGTGCGTTGGCCGACAATATTGATATGCCGAACACCACCAAGGCTGCACAGATGGCTTTCTATGGTAACCGTTAGTGTGCTTGGACGCGTGCATCACGAATGATATAGTGTACAAGGTCGATCATACTCATACTTCCAGAAGCTTCAGGCTTTAGTTTCAGGGGCATACAACCGGGGGTGCACCAACAAAGTGCACGGCACTGGCATTCTTCAAATTCACAAATGTAATCCGCACCTCGGGCAAAGATTTACACGGTAAGGGCAAAGCGGAAGGAGACACGGCAAACAACATACCGCACGCCGAAAGCTTCCCGAGATACCCCGACGTACGCTTTCCTTCGTGGCGTTTGATACGTCAAAGGCCATCAAAGCGAGTTAGACGAATGAAACTTTGGGTTCGCGACTGTCTTCAGTCTGCTGAGAAGGGTCTGAAGCCCTTGTAGTCACGTTATGCATATATGCATCGAACTGCTCTGCCCAGGCAGATACTTGAAATAAAGAATCTGAACGGCACAGGATTCATGCGAACATGCGCAGCTCGAAGCGATCATGATAGTCACATTCGTGGTATACTCGAAGCGGAGTTCAATCATCTGGTCGCGGAGGCTGACCTGTGATATGCAAGAAGTTTGTGACGTACGAACTGTAAATTTGCGACCCGCACCCTGCCTCGCGAAGTCTTGAGTTACCGTGATGAGGATGGACGCTAAGGTAGAGGTCACAGGAACGGGCACCCCTTATGTAAGCAGACGCCGGCCGACAGTGACGGCCTTAATGGCGACGGGCGCACACCTCCCTTGGTAAAACTGCTCAGTAGGAAATGTCAGAAGAGGCTCTGGCCATAATTCCTATTCAGCAGAATCTTTGAACATGGCGTTTTCATTGAGCTATTAGGGAAAAAGTGATCTCAGCGGAAAACACATTTTTCAGCCAAACCAGCCAAATTCGAATTTTGCGCAAGCGCCTTGGTCACGTGATCTGCCACGCGAGAGCGCTGATGCGTACAAGCTCCATATTGGGTAAAATCCCGCCTGCTCATTGGCGCTTAGTTTCTGCCCCTTGGGAATTGGCCTCGAGTGACTTCTCTGAATGAAGTGGCAAATGTAAAATCAAAACCAGGTTATATATACACTAATGCAGCCTGCTGAGACATTTCTCAGCCTCCCCTCGACCTTAAACTTGGTACGGGCAAGCGAAATCCCTCGGATTTTGCGCCTCCCACGATCACGTGATGGAGCTTACGTAAGAGTGCCCGTTCCTGGCGACCCCTACCTTAAAAGGAAGGAGAGCCAGGCAGCGGCTTGCTTACGTGAGCAACAAGCGCGCTTTACGCGAACGCAAAAGTTGATGCGTCCAAGACAGCGTGCACAAACGGCGCGTTGACTCGAACTATACCCCTCATTCTACCTTGCCAGCACATGCGCATCGGTTACTGTCGATTATCACATAACCGCACTTCAAAGAGGTGTTGTGGCTGGGCACACCGGTGGCGTGACGAGGTGGTGGACTGGGCCGTAGATAGTACCTTTCACGCACTTATCTACCTATAATTTTCTCGCAGAGATGGAAGAACAGTCTCCAAAAGCTCGCACGAAGCAAACCGCACGCAAGTCAACGGGGTTGACGGCCCCAAGAAAGTCTCTCGCTAGCCGCTCACGTCCAGCCGTCGCTCCCACCCCACTAAAGCGAACGGCAGACGCTGCTTTAGGAGGACCGGCGGATCCGTCAAATGGAGCCCTGAAAAAGAAGAAGGCTTCGCGAAAAGAAGCGAAAGCACCTCAGGTGAACAGCGGCACGGGTTCCCAAGTAGCGGTTGGACCTGGCCAGCAAACGTGGCCTTTATTTGGCGGTAACGAACCTTCACAGAGTTCGTCGGTCATTGAATTCATGTTCAGCTTGCTTATGGCAATCGATGTAGGCAGCAACGGTGCTCCTGGCCTTTATCCCGGCCTTATCTCTCTGAAGCAGTTCTGCGATCTTGCGCAGACCACCAACGACGCCACCCAATCGCATCTGCAGCTGCTCGGTCAGCGCATCCAGGAGCTTCATGCCGAGTACGAAGCGAGTCGCGCAGAGGTTATCGAGTTGCGGAGTGAGGTGGAGAGGCTACGCCAAAGAAATGAGCAGCTGTACTCGGAGAACGTTGCTCTGCGGCAACAGACATGGGGATCTGGTGGGACTTGAAGCTTGACCGGCCATGCTATTCTGAGTGCGCCTACCGTGTTGTCCGGAGGGCATTGAATATTAAAACTCGCGGATTGAACCCAGACGCCTAACGTTTCCCATATATAACGTATCGTTCTGCAACAGTTCCTGAAACATCCTCTGTGCTTAAGTCGTCTTCCTGTTGCATGTTATCGTTGATATATCCCCCAGCATGTTAGCATTGCATCTGTTGTCTCATGATTAACCTTTAATGTTGTAATATTCGAGGCGCCCGCCGCGCTGATCCGTCGGACGCGCATCAGCCGCGCCGCCCCAAGACACCGATACAACGCGCTTTGGCGGTCTTTTTTTCCAAGTTATCGCATGCCCGTTTTAGACATGGCGAGTGCTCTCGGCTCTGGTGCCTGTTCACTCCCATGTTTCCTCCAGTCTCAGCTTCCTAACGAACATTTTATTTAATTGAGTATATTTGGAAGTAGATAAGCTATATAAGAACGTGTAGTATTATTCTTGGAACTTATCCTTGATTAAGTACTCGTGAATCCTCCACCTGCGCGAATTCTCTCGCAACATTTTAAAGAGGATAAACGACAATTTTTTGCTCTCAAGGAGCCGTGCCTTGTGCCACAGCAAAGATGGACTGCAGTGGTGCTGCGCGGCGATGCGCAAGAGCGGTAAGTCACATCAAGGTGTTACGTCAGCAGCAAGCGTCAGCAGTAGGACGTCTCAGGCTACCGTCTAGCCAACTACCAACGACTTCCGTTTTATCAAATCTACTCTGAGTCTGACTCTTCTGGCCTCACAAGCATGGCGACAGTAGTACAGATTTATCTTTTATACTCATTACGCGTATCTCATTAGCATTCAATCAGGCGTGACGGCCAGACGGCGAGCCGTAAAAGAACGACGCTGTAAGCCAAGCAGTGCGCGGCACGCATTTGCGCCCCCCACACAAGGACAGCGGTGACATGGAAGCACAAGCTCTGAGAAAATTTCGCACCAAGCAAACCGCTCGCAAAACAACGGGCCTTGGGAAAGCTCCCAGAAAGGTTCTGGCCGCCGCAGCGAAGAAACAAACAGCAGCAGCCGTTTTAGGAGACGTACCTAAGAAGAAAGCTGCGCCCAAGGGTCTAGACACATCTCGTGCGGATATTAAAATAAGCTTTCAGGTGGATACTGGGTCCGACCAGCAAACACGATCTGAACTCGGTTCTACTGAGCCTTCGCAAGGTAGTTATGTTCTCGAATCCAGAAGGAGTTCTCAATAGATCTCTAATGGTCGAAGCAGATTCCTGCTTCTCTTCTTGCACACACACTGGTCTCTTCTCCCTGCAGCAATTCTGCAATCTTGCCCAAGCTTCTCATAGTGTAATTCAATCCTATCTAGAACAGCTCGCTCTTCAGATCCAGGATTTTCAAACAGAGTATGCAGTAAGTTGGGTAGAGGCTGCACAGCTGCGAGCTGAGAACGAGAGGTTACGCCGAATGAATGAGCGGCTGTGCTCGGAGAATGCTGCCCTCCGACAGCAAGCACGGGGACTGAGCAGGTTCTGATTCTTTGCAATATTGTAGGTGCATATTTCGTCACACTGTCCTACTGAAGACTAATCCTCACTACATAGGATTCGAAGTGCCTGATACTGTCGTATAACGTACCCGTTTACGTCAGTTTAACCCTGGATATTCGTTAAGCAACATGCTCAAACTGATTTTCTGTTTCTGTGTCGTGTTAATGAGTCACTCGTCAACAGCAGGGCGCTCCCGTGCCGAGAGTCTGAGTATATCTGTTACGTTCAGTCTGCTAATACATAACCTTGCTGTTGATCAGAGCCACCAATCTGCTCTCGAACCCAGGTACCCTGACTAGTTGGTCAAATGCCTAGCTCTCTCATAGCATCATGAGCGTCCCTATGAGACCTCCTCCGTGGCCTGAGCTGACAGCAAACGGGACGCAATGTTCTCCACTTGGATCGCTTAGGCCATCATTCTCGCGACCATTGTCGAGCCTGCGCTCGGCGTCAGTGGCATCCGTTGCTTCAGTTTCCGGCACCTCCTTCACCTCCCGTCTCAACTTTAGCGTCATCTACAACCATACAGACGAGGTGGGCTATGACAAATCGCGTGAGGTTGCCAAGGTCTTCCTCGCGGTGGAGCCGTGCATGACAGGCGCGAAGTCCGACCCAATCTGGATTTTGATGTGGTACTTCAACGGCCCGATACCGTTCATGTTATCCGCCAGCTTGGTGGCCTCTTGGCCACAGCACAACATCAAAGCGGAGAGCCCCAGGGGCAAATCGTACGTCTAGACGATGAACATTCACGAGCTTGTCGCCATTACGAAGGACTGCATGTTACTGCAGGTGGATCAGCAAGTTCTCAGTACAATAACAATGAGAAATAGGTGCTCTCATCGAAATCGCGCTGAAGACGGACGCCGGTAAGCCGGAGGCTCCAGCTCCAGGCGGACCCCACCGCTCGGCTTGTATACTGTGGCGGCCGCAGGGCTCAAACCTTGATTAACCATGATTTCTGGTCCCAAGCTGAAATATGAGCGAGCCGTACATCTCCGGAGCTGTCCAGTCGTTGACAAACATCCCGTATGGAACTTATGACAGCGAAAGCATCATGATTAAGCGCCTAACCGGCCCAGGGTCAGGCTTGCCGGATTTCGACCGTAGCATCGAACTTGTACGGTATGTACTGACCAGCTCCGAGCCTCGCCGTCTTTCCGAGCGGAAGCCTGCGCGCAAGTCTCGCAGTATGCGAATGGAAGGCGTTTCTCACATGAATATGATTCTCGACGCATCATCGTAGAATATAAGACGCGGAAAGACGGCCAATGCCGCGGCTGAAACTTCAAGAAACTTGCAAGGAGGTGCCTTGTTCTTGATTTCCATGCATGGTATTCCCTATCGCCCAATGGAATACTGGGAAACATATCAGGGTCGGATGGCCTTTGTCGCATACACCTGGCACCAGACAACTGCGACATGTCACAGAACTCACGTTGGTGTCGGCGCTTGGTGCGGCTGCGGCTGGTTTGCGGCACAGGGTGGTAAGCGCAGTTTTTTTCTCGAGAAAACTCAGGCAAAGGTGGCTAAACAAGGCCCAGTTATTCCTCGATTTCACGCCGATGCAACCTGAGGAGAAACTGGTGCAAAACCAGCCAAAAGGGTCTGAAACACAGTAAAACTGGCGGAAAACTGAGTTTTGCCTTCAGCTTTTTTCAGGTGAAACCCGGAGAAAGTTGGGGCCTTGTTGAATCAATTTTTGGCTGATTTTACGCCGGAAAAAGGTGCGCTTACCACCCAGTGCAGGCTCCCCGAGACTTGTCTCTCATTGCTTCTCAAGGCTAACTTATATGCTACTCGTCATGCGAGACTATAATCAAGCTAGTGTCTCGCCACCCACACTCCCGCCGCCGCCGCAACCTCTCGATGACCGAGCCAACCGACGCACATTCTACTGCCGCAAACTGGCTTGCAGCATTCGCACGAGCGGTCAGTGATGGGGATGCACAGCGTGTCGCAGCGACGTTCCTTACAGACGGCTGGCTAAGAGACGTTCTCACTTTCGTCTGGGACACCCGATCCCTCCATGGGCGGGAGGTAATCCAACGCTACCTTACAGAATCGAACCGCCTCTCTCTAGCCCAAGTTGCCAATATCGCTCTCGAGAAAGACCCATTCTACACACCACGTGAGTCGTTCGCCCCAACAGGCGATCGGGTTGGCGTCGAGACCGGGTTCACGTACGAGACGCGATATGCCCTTTGCCGAGGCTATGCACACTTGCGGCAAGTTGAGGATGGCACTTGGCAGGCTATCACCGTTGGCATGATTGCCCTCGACCTCAAGGCTCATCCTGAGCCGGCGAATGTCGCTGCCGACCGGGAAGCCTCCGGTCGGACCTGGGATGAGCTCGAGGTCGAGCGAAAGGCGAAGATCGAATCTGACCCGCATGTCGTCATTAGTGAGTCGTATACGCTACTTGTAGGTTTTGCGGTTACAGAACATTCACAGTTGGAGCTGGACAATGTGGCTTGAACACTGCTGCGAGGTTCCGGCAGATGGATATCTCGACTTTGGTCATTGAGAAGAACGCGCGCATCGGCGACAACTGGAGAAAGAGGTACAAGAGTCTCTCCCTCCATACTCCGGACTTCTATGGTCAATGTGAGCGCCGTCATTCTCTGTTTACGATCTTCATTGAGCGGGCACGACGCAGCGTTGTATCAGCCCTACCCATCTAACTGGCCCGAGTATGCGCCCAGGGACAAAGTTGCGGACTGGTTTGAGTCGTACGCCGTCAAACAGCATCTCACGATCTGGACGAAGAGCGCCCTCGCTACGCAGCCCCGATATGATGAATCCGAGGGTGTTTGGCACATCGCAGTCGATCGCGACGGCAAGACCGTGATGCTGCGCCCCAAGCACATCGTGCTCGCAACAGGCATACACGGCGTACCACGAGTACCCGACCTGCCCGACCGGGCCAGCTTCGCAGGCGCGGTGCTGCACGCGGCACAATTCGTCGAGCCAGGGCCCTTCGCAGGTCAAAGCGTCATTGTCGTCGGCGCCGGAAACTCGGCCATCGACATTTGTCAGGACCTCGCCACGAGTGGCGCGGCATCAGTGACCATGGTGCAGCGCTCGCAAACTTGCGTCGTCTCGCGAAGCTCTGTCAAGGAAGACATGCGACACATCTGGCTTCCTGGCGAGCCCGTCGCCGTCGGTGACTTCAAGCTCTCGGCGCAGCCGCTCGGGTTTTTCAAGGCGATGGCCCAGAGCATGCCTGAGGTGCTCTGGGCGCGCGAGAAAGAGCTACACGAGAAATTGCGCAAAGGCGGACTTGAGTTGTATCAGGGGCCAGAGGGAGAAGGGCAACTTCTGTTGGTCTTTGAGCGTGGTGGAGGTAAGCTATGGGTTACTTCAGAAATCCAAATAATAATAATGGCGGCTGATATAACCTCTAACAGGCTTTTGTGAGATCTTCCTTCTTTTCGTACAGGTTATTATCTGATATCCCACAGGGCTGGACAAGGGTGGGGCGGACCTCATCGCGTCAGGTCAAATCAAGATCAAGCAAGGCTCTAGTCCAAAGTCCTTCGCGGAAGACGGCTTGGTCTTCTCCGACGGATCCAAGCTACCCGCGGACGCGGTGATCTTTGCGTAGGTCCACTCCAATAATCAATACTTTACCCACTGATATAATTTCAGGACGGGCTATGAGCCCATTCGCAATGTCCATAAGCACACTTTCGGCGAGGAGGTGATTGGCCGCACGAGCAAGGGCTGGGGGCTTGACGAAGAGAGCGAAATAGAAGGTTGTTTTAGGCCCTCAGGCCATCCAGCGGTGAATAAATTGCTTTCGCGCAACGCTGAGATATTGACGTTGAGGGTTGAACAGCTATGGTACGCCATTGGCGATTTGTTCAACTCTCGGTTCATGTCGAAGCAGCTGGTACGCACGAGTGTTTCTTCATACGAGCTGAAGCTGGAATTTGCACTCGTAGGCTATTCTAATCAAGGTAGCTGACCTGGGGTTATACAATCCTGAGCAGGATCAGCGAAAGGGGCTGTAAATGCCAGTGTCCCGAAGGCGAAGATGTAGCGGAAAATTGCGCCTCGTCTATTTCAGCCCCGAGCTCTTGACATATCTTTGCTGATATATAACTTGTCGTAATCAAATGGGCTGGCATAAATGTACAATTTAGCTTCGATGTTCCCGTCAGTGAGGAGAGGTGAAAATTGCGTCGGGACCAACTTCGCGAACTGAGCGCTGAGCGCTAGCCGCCGCCTCATGACTTGCTCTCCGCCTCCATCTACTCTCAGCGACCTCGTAGAGTCGTCGTCGATTCCATGGCTTTTCGACGACCTCATAACTGAAATCTTGGTATATCACTTCAAAGATAAGCATACACTTGCGGCTTGTTCGCATGTCAGCCGCGCCTGGCTTCCTCTCGCCTCGCGATATCTGTTCCACAGCGTCCGCTTTCCCGGCCTGCGCCCCCCGCACGGCCTAGACCCTGCGTGCTCTCCTACTGTTAATGACTTCCTCTACTTCATCACATCATGCGAACGAGCAAAATCCAGCCTGCAGAAGCTGTCACTCAGGAGCTCATATGATGCACGGCGGACGAGTCCATTCCACGTATCCTTCTCTACTCTGAGAGAGCTTGTCGCTGCGTTACCACGACTCCGGGTGCTCAAGCTCGGACAGGGAAATAGACTGTTGATACTCAACGACACGCCGGCCAACGAGGGCGGGCTAAGATCCCGTCTAGCTCTTGACAGGCTCGTTCTAGGCGATGTAACAGGATCAGAGGACGAGCACATACTCGACCTCTTGGGTTTCTTCTTTCCCATTGGTGAGCTCGTTTTCGAGCCTTCTCCGGGGTATGCTACCGTGTACGCCCGTATGCTAGCGCAGAACGATCTAGCAAAGTATGCCAGGACAGTGAAAGTCGAAGTCGAGAGCTTGTCGTTCAGATTCTGGCTACATGACGAGCTGCAGTTCCCTTTCCTCTCAGCTATCAGCACAACACTTTCCCCAGCGTCGCTCAAGTACATGACCAACGTTTCATTGTCCCACTTCGAAGACCTGGCGCAGCTGGACAAGTTCATCTGTGACGTGGCGACACATTTAGAGGAGCTCACGCTTCGCATCTACTCGCCTGGCGTCAACCTAGGATTTCAGCCGCGCTTGGCTAGATCCACGATCCGAGGTCCCCCTTTCCGTTCGTACCTTTGCTCTCAGATCCGACTTAGTCCAGACGCTGATGCCTCCAAAGGCCAGATATCAGGCCTTCCTGCCCTAGCCAAGTGCTCTGCACTCCGCCGAATGGTCATCTACATCGATATTTGGCCCTGGAGGGATCCTACCCTCGTGCGGAGCACACTCCGCTCAGCGGACAATACGAACTCATTCAATGCGGCTCTCGCGATCCTGGAGCCTGCGCTTGCGGTCCCAGCGATGCGCGCTGTCGACCTCGTGTTCTTCCTCCGCTATCACACGTTGACCATTTTAAGATCGCTCATAACTCCAGAGAACGTACTCGCACGCATGCAAGAGCTCCTCTGGGAGCAGATGGACGATATGAACATCCGGAACGACAGCCTCGAGGCGATTACGATTAAACTCAGCGAGAGTGAGCAGGGAGATGGGGACCCATTGCTTGCCGACGAACTAAAGAAGCTATTGGATTCTCGGTTGAAGGCGCGGGTTAGAAATTTGGTTCGGTACACGTAACTTGGTGAGTAATAGCCCTCCCACCTTGCTACATCCTCATTCGCGTGTAGTGTGTACTATAATAGTGCCTCTATCGTGAATCTAGAAAACCTTACCTATAAGTCATTCACGGGCGCCCATGCTACTTGCTTCCGTTATCACAAACACTGCCGCCGCTCACTGTCGCGATCCACAAGGCCGACGCTTGCCTCGGCGGCTCGTTGTCACTCGCGGGCCGCACAACGCACCCTTTCCGGTAGCTTTGACTCCGCGACATGTCACGATGATTAGGAGAATCGCTGTCTATTCTCCTCACATCCTCATCCGCACCTTATCTATATATTTGTCATGGGCGGGTATTTACCTATCAGCTTGAGCTGCTATCCCGACGCGTACATCTCCGAGGTGAGCATCGCTCAGCGTTCCGGCTTGCTTGAGAGTAACGCGAAGCGTAACTCTATTGCTTCTGAAATGTCAATTGGGTCTACTGCCTTGGATGTCTCAACCACCTCGTCCTGGGTAAATATCGAACATCCGACCACTCCAGTGGTTGGGCAAAACCTTCGCACCAAACGCTCGCATCCTACCCGGAGGGTTTAGCTCGACGACCCCGTCCTCCAGGTCCCCAAGAGAGGGCCCCAGCCTGAAGCCGGTGTGTGAAGAGCTAAACAAGTCTATTACGGTTTATGTTGCCGCCGAGAATTAACCGCCAGGCGCGGACTTGGCATGAACAAGGGCAGCATCGTATGGCTCATCCACTAGCGCGTCAGGCAGCACGGCTCCGGCCTGCGTGTCCTTCGCATCCACTATGAGAGGGGCGTGCCAGTTTACTTCGAGCCGCGCGCGCTCACTGCAAACGAGCTACCAGAGGACGCGCACCGAGTATCTGTTGGCGATATATGAACGGCTACGCGGCTGGAACGCTCAACCTCCCACAGCACAGGCGACTCAAGGAGGTCGCGGGCGACGCGGGAGCCCGAGGCCCGGGGGACAGAGATGCACACAAGAACTTCCTGTAGGTTTACAGAGTCCAGGGGGCACATACCACTTCCATGGCGCTCTTAGACTGTTGTCAACGTCTTGAAACACATCGAGCAGAATGACTCCCGTCGCACCCAGGACTATATGCGATACACGCTGTAGCTTTGGTATATTTGTCGTGAATCTACGACCTTTCCAAAAGAGTCTCATTGCGATGCCGATTATTGGGCAAGGGAGTGCGAGAGTAAGTAAATGAAAGTAAGGAACGAGCTCGGCTGTTGCCGGACTGTAGCACGAGCTGCTTACTGAGCCCAGCGGACTTTGAAAGGGTAAGTACAGAACTGTGGTTAGTAATTGGAGGCGGGCGCGCATTGCAGTGCTTACTCCACGACCGCCACCACTCCTCAGTCTTTCCAGGCTCCCCATTAGAATTTAGCCACAATGCCTCGAGCGGAAGGTACGTTCCCAGTGCAATAGACTGTATCACCTGTAATTAATGTCAACCTAGTCGGTACACCGAAGTACCTTGCCAACAAGATGAAGGCCAAGGGCCTCCAGCGGCTGCGCTGGTACTGCCAAGTCTGCCAGAAACAGTGCCGAGATGAGAACGGCTTCAAGTGCCACACCCAGTCCGAGGCACACCTCCGACAAATGCTCGTCGTCGGCGAGCAGGCCGGCAAGCACATTGCCGACTTCTCTTCGGAGTTCCAACACGACTTCGTCCAGCTACTTTCTCGTCGCTTCAGCACGAACCGGGTCAAAGCGAATTCTGTCTACCAGGAACTCATCCAGGATCGTAACCACATGCATATGAACGCTACACGATGGGTTACTCTGACTGAGTTCGTGAAACATCTGGGCAGGATGGGTATTTGCAGGGTAGAGGAGACGGAGAAAGGATGGTTTATTGCGTGGATCGACAACAGTCCACAGGCTCTCGCAAAACAGGTTCGTCTTGATTGGCCTTATGCATAGCTTGTATCTTACTTACGAGCATTGTACAGGAAGCTACTATGAAGAAGGAACGCCTGACTACTTCAGATGAGCAGCGGGAACGCCAGCTTATTGCCGAGCAGATCGAACGTGCAGCAGTTGAAGCTTCGACCTCCGAATCTCCGTCACCGCCTCCGGAAGCGCAGGAGCTCAAACGAGGAGAAGGCGAGAAGGTCGTTCTGTCGCTAGCGCCCAAGACACCTTCCGCTACATCGACCGCTGCTGCTCCCGCAACAACTGGTCTAAAGATTAACCCCCTGAAAGTGAAACCACTGAAGCCAGCAGTCAACCCCCTCAAGGCTGGTGTGAATCCACTTAAGCGATCAAATCCCCTCAAGCAAGCTGCGTCGTCGGCATCCCCATCTACTCCTCCCGCAGGTGACGATAAGGTGGCTGGCAAGAAGAGGGACCTGACCGCAGCAGAAAGGCTCATGTTCGAAGATCAGGAGCGCAAGAAGCGGCGGATGGAGCGCGAGGCGAGGGAACCCGTGGCGGCATAGAGGTAGAGGCTTGAGGACATTCGGTACGAGTTGAAACATTGTCATAATTCTCGCTGTATGCCTACTGTAATTGCATATCTTTTGTGTATCCCCAGGCTATCATCATGTGAAACCGCTCTGTGCGTGTTTGTTCAATCCCCCAGCCCTGCTCTTTGTCCGCAAAGCTGGCGCTGAGGTTATAAATCCTTTGGCTACCTTGGCTCAGGCTTTATGTCCTTGGTATGGTACCGATATATATTCTCCGTTTCGTCCTCTGCTCCCGCACATCGAGACTATGTCTGACTAACCAAGAAGCCGACGGACGAACACCTTCACCCACTGAGCCTCGATTTGGGGCGTCATGTACACGTTCTCATGCCACCGCCGCCACTGAAGCACCCCGGCCGTCTAGCCTCGCAAGGATACAGGACCGCCTGTAGTGCTGGCGCACCCCGGGAAGATGACTTCTACCAACAGCCACTCGCGCGCTAGCTTTCCTCGCGGTCGCTCGTCCGGCCGCCGTCCCCTCCGATGCCCTCGCGCTTGGAGAGCAGGACGTTCGACAAGATAAAGAACATTGTGAGTGAAACAGAGACCAACGGAGAGCAAGGTGCCGGGATAGAGATGAAGTGCTGCGAGTAAAAATCGATATGCTTCTTTAGCTGAGTCTGTCCTCTGCGCGTAAGATTATACGCAAACATCACAATACCCCCATACTTGTTTTTTTATCACGCGTTCACTAAGCTGAGCTCAGGCATGATGCAGTACCAGGTCGTGGATGAATCGGCATCTAACACTTTTGAATAATGTAATGCGCAAGAGCGGTATATAAAGCGACAGTGGTTACATATTCTCGGGGATTTTATCACCTTTACCGCGCCCTAGGCCTTACAGGTCCCGTCTGGATGCTCTTCTCCATCTCCACAGTCCATGGAAATAGCCCTTCGGTGCACGCCGCCTGATACAGACCACGCACCCACTCCCGATAAGACTGTGGCCCGCCGCGCAGTTCGCGCGCGATTTGTGCGAGACAGTCGAGCTGGCCGTACGTGAGCCATGCGAGCGGCATACGCTTGAGCGTGGCCAGCGAAAGCTTGCGCCCCAACTCGAGTCCGGGGAATGATTCGTGCGCGAAATGCACCTCGTGTTCGTATTCCGCGTTGCCGGCGAGATGCAGCCGAAGGACGGTGTACTCGTCCTCGAGTCGTCTACGCACGTTTTTGCGCCTGCCGGATATATACGCGATGCAACACAGCGGGTTTGCCCTGGCATCGTCGGACTCTGGCACTTCAGCGTACACGTGCACGGCTACGTAGCCCGCGTGCCGGTCGTCAGAAGAGTCCCTGGGCCGTGTCGAGGGAATGTCATGAGCCTGCAAGGTCTGAGTCGTCCGTATCGACGACGCCCGATATGCGTCGGACGAATACTGGCGAACCGCATCACTGAACCATTTGGGAGAGCCCATGTCGTCCCATTCATGCCCCTGCTCCGCTCTAGCGGTATGGTCGTAGAGGGTTGCACCGAAACGACGTGGGGTGGCTCCCGACGCGGCTCGCTGTCCTGGTGTGAAGTTACTGCCGAAGGCAACCCATGAGTTACTTGATTGCGTTAATCGTAAGGTGCGTAATCTTCGTTCTGGCGGGATAAAAACGTATTTGAGGTTTGGGTAACGGCCTTCTTGCGACAGGTGGAGGGGCGAGGGCTGCGGAATATAAAGGCGCCGTTCGCGTGGCGAGAGTCGTAATACATCCGAATTGTTGTTCGAGGGAGGAGCCGTTCGATTATAGGCCGACGGTGCCCTGGAGAGAGGCAGTGTTGACGCCGACTGTCGAGAAGCAGCCGCTGACGGGCCTATCAGATTCAGCATGACTGGGAAGCATGGGTTGCTCTTGTCTGGCGAGATGCTCGCGGTACGAAATGGATTATAGCCCTTCTTCTCAGATGCATTGGAGATAATAGAGTCGCGGAGGGCATGGTACGAGACGGGGTAGGAGGCCATGGTAGTGGCAGGGAATGGATAGTATTCGTGGCAGAGAAACAGATGCAGCTGCATTTATTGCCCCGAGTGTCGCAGACAAAGCCCAAAGAATACTTCATCCCTGTGGCACAGTGGCACAGGCCACCGAAGCATTATAACCACAAAGGCGGACAAGAACGGAGAAGTAATCGGTCAAAGAGCCTTCGATAACGACAAAGCGAGCTGAGACGAAACATGTTAGCGCAGCTCATGGCAGTAATAGGGTCGAGATGCTTAGCGACCTAGTTGGGCTATAAACGCCAGTCGTTTTCGCAAATGCTGTCCACGTCTAATCCCCTTCAATGTTAGCACATGGGCTTCTACCATGGTGAACGCAGGTAGTAGTATATCAATCAGCAGCAAGTCGCCAGGCACGAGTGCGCTGCCCAATCTGCATTAATGGGTATAATCACATCGCGTAAAGGCGAACTGGTGACGTTCCTGCTGAGTGAGGGCTTAGTCGTCAGGAACAGTCTCTAATACGCCAGGGTTACTCTGAGGTGTTGATGCATGGTCGGAACATCGTCCATACGGGCATGTCCCTGCTCGATTGCGGACTGCTTACGTTACAGATCGAGGGTCAGGGATGTCGGAATTTTAGCGTTGAATCCCAGACGCTACACTTCCGTTATCTGCAAAGCCAAATCCTACCGTCGCGAAGTAGAAGTAATGACGCACCAATTCCAGATTCTCCGCTCGTCCTATTCTCGTAATTCCGGATGTTCACAAAGCTAAAATACAAAAGGACCCAAGCCCAATGATAATAACTGAATGCCATTACGCTTCAAGTACCCGGAAAATCTGATGGGAATCGTCAAGTTCACGTCAAGGTGTCTTAGGACTTGGCGTACCTTAACGGTACCACTTTTCAGATCGTCCAATCGGTAGCTCACAGACTCAACGCTCTACGAAATAATCAGTCAACGACACCAAAGGCATCTGGGCCACGTACCTCTTGCCCGACGTGCTGATTGGCCTGGAAAACCTTCACCTTCGTCTTCTTGACCTCATAGTCTCCGATAATTGCGATTAACGGCTCGCCCATACCCACGTTCTGATGATAAATCTGCAATCCCTTGTGTCCCTTCAACTTCGCATCGTGCAGCACGACGATATCGCCTGGCATGATGTCGCTCGCTCGCTTGTGCACCGCAGAACCACCTTGCTCGTAGATAAGGTAACCAAACGAGTCAAACGGGGGCACAGGCTTTGAGGCATTCGGCACCTCGTTGAGCACTGTCGTCACGAACCCGACATGGGTGCCATCGCCGACCAGACTCTTCCGCGACTTCTCGTATAACGTCGTCGCCACTTCGGCGATCTGTACGCCGACACGACCCCAGTGTGCCATGAGATCGTCCACGGAGAGGTTCGTCAATGGCGTAACGGCTTGCTTCGGTGGCGGTGGCGGCGGTATTGTAGAAGTAGATCCAGTGGATGTTTGCCTTCTAGGGTACTGCGTCGAGTCCTCAGACCACTGGCCCGCCAATGACAAGTCTGTCCCGCCTCCAAAGTCAAATGTATTTTCCCACTGCGAGCCGGGTTTACGTTCCAGCGGAATATCTGGTGGCGGTGGTGGAGCAGTGCGAGATGACCTCTTGAGACTAGCCGTCCTCAGTGGCGGAGCTGGTGGCAATTCCTCGTGCACACCAGGTGTCTCAACCATAACATAGTCGTTGGTGGACGCTGACGGTGGAAGTGTCGGGCGTGACTGTGGAGGCGGTACTGGTGGTCGACCGAGGGGTACGGGGGGCCGGGAAGCGTGACGGGTAGGTACAGGGGGCGATATTACCTCCTCTTCGGCGTCTGGGTGCTCTATCTCCTCGATCTCGCTCTCCTCCGCTTCGACTTGGACCCCAGACGCCTCAGACTCCGCATCGCTCTGCTCTGGCTGAGGTATAGGAGGTGGCGGCGCTGTTCGCGGAGGCGGCGGTCGAGAGGATGATCGCCGCGATGGGACTTCTTCATGCGCGGCCGTTTGCTCTGACCGTGGGACTGGCGGCGGGGGCGCACCTCTTGGAGGCAGTGGGCGCGAAGGTGACGGAGGCGGAAGAGATTCATCGTCTTCTTCGGCATGCACTTTAGGAACTCTTGGAGGTGGGGACGTAGGCATAGGCAGCATGCCGAAACGCATACCGCCAGTAGCTGCCAGGCGAGCTGCGATACGCTGCTTGCGAGCAAACTCATCCTCTTCCTCTGGGGGAGCTTGTTCCTGCGTTTGTTCCTGCTGAGATACTTCCTCGTGCTCTGCCTGGGGTTGTGGTTCTTGCTCTGCCGTAGGCGCAGTGGCAGGCGGTGGCGGGCGAGCAATAGGTGGAGGCGCGCCGAAACGCACGCCTCCGAGCTTCGCCATCCGCTCTGCGATGGTGCGCCGGCGAGCTGTTCCTTCGTCCTCGGCGGGTAGTTCAGGAGCGGCAGGGGCCTCGTCTTCCGTCTCGCTCGGTAGGTCTTCAGTCTGAGGAGCATCCGCAATAGCAACGGGTGGCAACATCGGTGACCTCTGAGGACTGTAAAAGGACGGGTCAATGGGATCTGATGATACACATGTAAGTACCTTCCTCTCAAGCAAGCTTGTGCAACTTACCGCCATCAGAATCGTCCAGAACTTCGGTATCGCTACGCTTCGGAATGGCCAAGCTCGGGTAGTGCGACTGTCCACTCGACGGAGATACGGGTATCGTTGCTTTGCGCTGAGGTACTGGTACAGATTGACGGCGTGGTGGAGGCGGCGGCGAAATTAGCTCTACTTCTTGATGCTCGTCTACAGCCCCTGAATACTCGCTTGCCTCGTCGTCGTAGTTATCGTCTTGGGACTCTTCATACATCGGTCGCGGCGGCGTAACAGGACGTAGAGGGACTGTTGGTGGCGGTAAAACCGTAGTATGTTCTCCTACCGCTTCGATGGGCGGAGGAGGAGGAGGAGGGAGTGACCTTCTCGCAGGATGCACACTGGGCGACATTGGCAATGTTACTCGCTCATGTACCTCTTCCTCGGCTTGCTCGATAGGTGGCGGCGGCGGGGGAAGCGATCTTCTAACCGGACGGACTGGCGATTTGTATCCAACGTCCGCTTCAACCTCCCCAGGTTCAGCAGCTGCACTGTGCACAGCGGGCGGAGCAGGGATAAAGTTCTCTGGCTCAGCCAGAGCCGTGCTAGCCGTGGACTTAACTGACATAGTCCTGCGGGGCGGCCGTGGCGGGGGTGTAGGTTGCTCTTCTTCTTGATCAAACGCTTCAGGTTCGGATGCGGCTTTCTCGCGTTTATCCTGCGATAGAGGTGGAGCCGGGACGACGTGAGATGGTGGAGGTACAGAAACTCTCCTAGGAGGTGGCGGTGGCGGCGGCACTTCTATCTCTTCCTCGATCTTCGGTTCGCGCGTCGCCTTTCTACTTGGTGGGTGCATGAATTGCTCTTCTCGTTCCTGTTCAAATGTCTGAGGTTCATCATACACCGATTCGTCACTCTGTTCTTCTTCATCGTTGTGGTACGCCAAGTCTGCGCCCCTCTCACCCTCGTATACGTGTACAGCTTCGATTTCATTCGCCACAATCCTGGCATCTACAAAAGTCAGAATCCATCAATCCTACATATTCTCATCTGCAGCTAAATAAAGAAGCTATTTACCATCATCCTCTTCATCCTCGTAATTGCTCTCGCTTTCACCCGCGTATCCACGTTGCTCTTCAGGCACAGTAGGCACGCTAGCCTTCCTCTCCGGCACGGGGCGCGTTGCAATGGGCGGCACCGGTGGGCTTGCCAAACTCGTCGCTGAGGGCGCAGAGAGGTCAAGACTCTCGCGGCGTGCTATATTAGTCGCCTCAGGCAGGGCGGGCGGAGGCGCATCAATATCTTTCGCCTCTACGTCCACCTCATCAAAGGCGAGGTCCTTCTCAGGGCTCTTCGGTATATCCACAGTAGTCTTGCGACTTGGCGTTGGCGGCGCCGCGAATGGGTTAAACCCACCCTGCTGGCGGAGGCGTTCCGCAATGCGCTTGCGGCGTGCGTCCTCGTCTTCCTCTTCTTCAGCCTGAGCAGGTTGTTCCCCGGTGAATTCGAGCTCCTCGACAGCTCTTCGCTCCTCGATAAGTGGAGACTCATCGGTCGGGGCGGGTCCCTGGGCTTCTTCGACGTGCTCCTCGGCATGCGCAGTGTTAGGCGCCTGCTTTGACTCTTCGTTCTGTCCGCGCTCGCGTTCATTGTCCAGCGCAAGCTCGTCGATATTGTCTTGCACCTCGCGTGTCGGCTGCTGCTCCTCATGGACAGGCTCTTCCTTAGCTTTCGGCGGCTCGTGAACGCTCTTCCTCTTCTGGACAGGCTCTAGGCCGAGTGCGCCCTCGTCCTCCTTACTCTTGCGCACCGCTTCCTGAAGCTCCTTCGACCCGTCATCGCTCGTGAGCTGTGGTGTGCCTGGTGCAGGACTCTGCGAGACTTCGGCAGCATCCTCGAAAACCTGCTCCGCAGCTGGCGGGGGAGGTGCGGGCGACGGTGACTTGGGTGCCTTGCGGCGTGGTGGCGCTGCGCGCTTCGGTGCTGCGGGAACGGGCATCGCTGGAGAACGAGGCGCAGATGATGGTGTAGAGTCGACAGAGAGGAGAGATGTACTGGATGCGTTTGGTTGAGCAAAGTATTCTGTTAAAGTCATCAGTAACCAGGCTTATAAGAAGTGAGTATCTCGTACCTTCCTTGGTCTTCTCTGACGGCGCGTCTTCAGATACTGCTAGCGGAGGGCTCTGAGGAGCCTTCTCTCTCGGCACTACAAACCATAGTCAATAACACGGCCACCACAAGCGCAGATCGAGACGCACCTTCGGGAGATCCAAGAGTCTGCGAAATATCGGCTTCGGGGACCTGCTCAACCTTGACTCCTTCCTTGGACTCCTCAGGCTTTGATGCTGTAGGCTTCTTGGGCACGTCCGGCTTACGTCCAACGATGGGCGGACCCATGCCGACTCTTGCGCCTCCGAGGCGAGCCATGCGAGCAGCAATAGCAGCTCTGCGCTGACGCTCCTCCTCTTCGGGGTCCTCTTCCTTCGCCTCTTCTTCCTTCGCTTCCTCTCCCCCAGCAACAGCAGGTTGGTCCTCGGATGGCTTTGACGCGTCGCCCGCAGGCGGTGACAACACGGGCGGTGAGAATGCGCGCGGTGTAGGCTCCTTACCCTCGCCCTCGCTCTCATCCGCGGGCGGAGACACGATAGGCGGGGGCTTCCACTTGGGTTTGTCGAGCTGCGGCTTGGGGGCGACGGGCGGAGGCGCGCCGAAGCCTCCTCGTCCCTGCAGCGCAGCCATACGCTCCCTGAGACTCCCGCCCACGCCGATGCTTGCCTTGGCGTCCGCAACGCTCATCGCCCCGGCCTTCTTCTCCTTCTCCTTCTCCTTCTCCTTCTCCTTCTCCTTCTCCTTCTCCTTCTCCTTCTCGGCATCATCATCGCTTGGGGCGGCCTGCGGCGACGCCGGGCGCGGCTTCCAGGAGGTACGCCCGCTCGGCTTCGGGCGCGGGGCCGGCGCAGGCGCAGGTGCGGGCACGGAGCCCTTGTTCTCAAACGCAGCGATGCGGTCGCGCAGAGAGCCTATCTTCTTGGGCGGCGGATCTGCCATCGTCGACAGTGAGAGATGATTATGACTGTGGTGGTAGTCGAGCGAGCCAGGACACGGCGCTACATCATTCAAGTAATGCTTATCATTATTACTGATGGGATAACAAATCAGTAACAAAGGGAGTAACTCTGTCTTGAATAGGGGTTTCAAAGTATCCCTTACGTGAGTTTCATTGATCCGGCGTCAACATGCGTTTATGACGTCGTTTCACCTCCATGTTTGCCAGGGTCGCGATACAGGATATCTTCCTGTAGACTCGTGTGAGTATACTGAGGGTCGCGTACGCTGATTATATGTCTATCAGAATCCGCTATGGGACACATTATGCTGTCTGTCCTTGTAATCGCTTCGAAAAAGCGTCACCGAGTCTGCAAGTCTGCGGATGAAAGAGCGGTGTCAAGGAATGGCCGTCCAGCGGTGATGCCGCCATCCACATAGTGAGATTAAATCTGCGTTGTTCATCGTGATAACCGGGCTCTTGATTGACGATATACGCGTCATGCTCTCCGGATATTATTGATCCGGCAATACACACTCCCAGCTGTTAGTTATGTCCTACGTCGCCCCGCCCGCACCACACCTGCATATTGACGATGTCTCGGCACAGGCGGCTTGCAAGTAGTCTCTTATACCAAGGATGTTTCACGATGGCCTGGCATCGTCGGTGACAGTGACGACGACAGTGTATGGGGCGGGGGGTACGAAGTCGAGCCATGTTGCACGCGACTCTCCCTCCCTCCGGCGAGTCAGAGTTTAGAACATCTCATATGCATGTATAACTGCAGCCTATCTTTAGACCGAGCACACTCGCTATCATCTCGCGCCACAACGCATGCTCGGGGCCCACTCGCCTACACATACCACATCACGAAGTGGATCTGCAAGCTTCAAGGGCCTGCTTGAGTGCGAGACTTCAATTGACTGGGCCGCCTCGACAATAGAACTATGCGCTGAAGGAAATACGGATTGCCGGAGGTCATGGTTTGCACGATCTTCAATAGCTCGAGCATCTGGATACATTGGTCAACGATAATGTAACAGGTCACAAGAGTAAAGACGTGATGCTAGAATCGCACTACCGTCACAGTCGGTACATATGTAGACACCAACCAGCCGATCAGAATCTCCACGTACGCTATAGTATATGTCCATTATTATAACCACCTCGACTCATTCCACACACAGTCGAACGCCCGCGACGATATCCCTAAGGTCATAGCCTGCGTAACTACTGAGCTCGCTCTGATATTTGCAACGTCTCAGTCAACGCCATCGGCACGCGGATGGACACAAGACGTACTCGGTGAATGGTTATCTGTGCGCCGCTTCTTGCTGGGAGTGTCTGCGGCATCATTTGAGTTCTCAACAGGAGGGAGGGAACGCTTGCCCCGCGTTCTCTATGCACAGTTGGTTAGTACACAGTGGAGTGAGTGGGAGGTGCTAGACTCACAAATCTGTTATCGAATTCCCGTTTCCTAGGTATTGTAAGCGTTTAGCGGATGCTTCGCTTGAAATTAGATAAAACGCACCTTGCGAATATCTCTTCTTGTCTTTTCTTCTGTCCCTCGTCCTACAAACTGAATAAAGCTTGTGCCATACGACGAAAGCCAGTAACGCACCCGCCCCATGTGCTGAAAGCATTCGAGAAAGGTGCCGTCATTGGAAAATACATTTATCGGCTTAAGCTTTGGGCGGTTAGCCTTCGAAATGCTGTGGTGAACGTAGGCAGACGGCGCAGGCGAGACTCGCGGCACTGCGGAGACATGGGGTACTGGTGAGATTGGAGAAGCTGGGGAGCCGTACCCGCTAACTGAAGTTACTGCGCTTGACATTGTGCTGAAGATGGTCGAGCAGGGTTGTATCAAGAGATTGTAAGGAGTTGAGAGCAACGTCAAGGACCGAGGTTGGTGTCTTTAGTACTAAGCGGATTTCCCACGCCTCGTTCCCGTGACGTCGGCCGAAATGTAAGCGCTTAAGCAGCTGGCAGTAATTACCCACCAACCGCGATTCGCAGTGTATACAGCATGCCTCACCTGCTCGAGCTACCTCCCGAGCTGCTGGAGCAAGTTCTCCTAGACTTAGACCCTCTCGAGGTAGCACAAGTCTCTCGAACATGCCATGCCCTCCACGGCCTCATCAATACTCCTTCGAGCGAGCTCTTTTGGCGCAGGCTCTACCTTCTCCAGCCCTTCGACGACCCGCGCACTTGCCGTAGCCCGCTCGGCGAGCCTATTAGCTGCATAAATTGGAAGCATTCGCTCCAGCGCATTGTCCGCGCACGCACAGTCGTGAAGAATCAGGATCTATGTCGCCCCAACGAACGCAACGCTATTGTCGAGACGCTGCTTGACTTCGCAAGACACACGACCCCGCTCTCGAGCACCCTTGGCGACGAGCTTTCGCTCAACCTCGTATGGCTTGCCGCGCTCCTCCGGGGCAGCACCTTCTTTAATGCGCCGCTTTGGGTACCCAACCCTGAGGAGACGAGGATTCGCGCGCATATCCACACGCTCTGGACTTACAGCCTGCGACTTCCTACCTCGACGACGCACAGATAGCCGCTCATACGTGTACTCCTTCACGCACTATTCGGCGAAGAACAGATGGGGACCGTTCATTCAAGATGGAAGCGGGCGGGTCAACTGGGAGCACGTCCTCGCTGTACACCACGTTATGAGCATGCAGATTGTGCCGCAGCCGCAGGTCGAGCATCAGGACCCGTACATGATCTTCCCAATGAGCCTGCCGTTTACACAGAGCATCCTGCCGGTGGATCTAGATCTCAACGCGACCGAAGATTGGGCCGGCATCGAAGGCGTATGGCAGTGTGCATTCTCGTTTATCGATCATCGCGAGCTGCTCGTATTCAACAATCTCTCGGGCCGACACGTACATGTTTTTTCCCCTCGCGCGTATCTCGTGCTCACGCACTCTGCAGTTCGACGATGAGTTGAGGACCGCGCTCTTTGAATCGCCCGATTTCGTCGAGATCTTCAGCAGGCTTGACGTCATGCTCAAGCTCATCCGCACTGAGCCCGACCCGGAGCATCCTACGCGTCCGATTTTGCATTTCACGTGTGAGAGCAGGACGGGCACTACCATGGTAGGCTACGTGTGTGTGACGCCGGACGACAATATTCGCTGGCATTTTGTGAGTACAAAGGTGTGCTGGTTGAGTGTGCGACACTGAAGGTCGAGTAGGAGAGTGGGCAGAATGGCGACAATGTCTGGAGGTGAGTTATTCGCGTTTACATCTTGGGTCAAGTCTTGGGTGCAAAGCTGACGCATATTTACAGTTCGGAGGGAGTTCAGGTAGGTAACGTCCGCTCGCCATTCGGGGTTCTTGGCACCTGGACGACGACCACGCACGACGTGGGCGACCCCGTCGGTATGTCCTCTGTTTTGCATCATATTCGCATCAGCGCCTTGATACGCCCTCTCGCAGGACCATTCTGGATGCGGAAGATACCTTCGGACAACGATTCGAGCTTGGTTTGAATCTGCACAGGTCCCAGCATGCCCTAGACACCCTTATTTAACGATTTCCCTACCCGTGCTTGATTGCTATCTCGCTGTATATGCCTGGCGCAAGTACGAGGTTCAGGTCGACACCCATCAATGCAGACATTGCGCACAGTAGTCTGAACTGCGTTCGTTTGAGCTTGGTGGTGTGCGTAGCCTTCTGCACGGCCCCCTTTCAACAGCTCCATATTGTTGAGGCCAGGCTGGATAGCTAGCGCGATACTGCTGGGCTCAGACAATCCAGTCATTATTTCTTTTTGCCATATGCCTGCTGCGCTACCGTATAGCGACGCGCCCAAATGCTACGCGGGCAAAAATGCACCTGAAGTTCAAAATGTTGGGATTACACTTGTATCGCGTACGGACTAGAATGGTGCAAATAAATGATACAAATGTGGTATACAAAAGCGAGCATCATTCCACTGAATGCAGTTTTAGATCTGCTCCTGCCGTCCTCTACTGCCCAAGTCTTGTATGATACTAGATACTTTTGTTGCACACGCCGCCTACCACCAGTCACCATGGGCCCTCATAGCATCCGCGACCTTGATAAAGCCGGCAACGTTGGCGCCGGCAAGGAGGGACGGTGCAACCTTGCCCTGGAGCTCGGGCGCATCATCGCTCCAGCGCACGCCGGCGTCGAGGCAGATGTTGTAGCAGTTCGCCATGATGTCCTTGAGCTTTGCATCGACCTCGGTGTTTGTCCACTGCAGGCGCTGGCTGTTTTGGGCCATCTCGAGACCAGAGACGGCGACACCGCCGACATTGGACGCCTTTCCTGGTGCGTACCAGATCCCGCCCTGCTTGCGCGACTCCTCAAAAACGTGCACCGCTTCCTGCGTCGAGCCCTGTGCGCGGCATCTGTAACCACGCTGGACGTATCAAGAGAGGGCACGTACCATGTTTGAACCTTCAGCAACGATCTTCGCGCCGGCCCTGGTGAGTGCCTGGGCCTCTTCGCCGCTAATCTCGTTCTGGGTGGCGCTCGGGAGCGCGATGTGAATTTTTTCGAGGAGTGTCCAGGGGCGCTTGCCTGCATGGTATGTGAAGCGGCTAGAGAAAGACGCATCCTTGCTGAGGCTCTCGAGCGTGCCGCCCCGGAGCTTGAGCGCCATGATGGCCTCGACGTCCACCTTGGTGTAGCCCGTGCCGTCGGTGGCGACGAGCGAGCCCTTCGAGTCCGAGAGCGAGAGAACGGTGCCACCGAGCTCGATGATTTTGAGTGCAGTGTACTGTGCGACGTTACCAGAGCCGCTAACAGCAACAAGCGTCGAAGGCTTGCTGAAACTGTACTCGGGACAGTACCTGGCGATCATCTGCGGGGCTGCAGCGTAAGAAAAAGGGACATGCAGAGAAGGAAGCTCCTACGTACATGCTCGACATAGTAGACGAGACCATAGCCGGTAGCTTCTGGACGGATATGCGAGCCACCCCAGCTGATGCCCTTGCCAGTGAGGACGCCGACGAACTCGTTACGAAGCTTCTTGTACTGGCCGAACATGTATGCAACCTCACGACCACCGGTACCGATGTCGCCTGCAGGGACATCGGTGTCCGAGCCGATGTGGCGTTGAAGCTCTGTCATGAAGGCGACGCAGAACCGACGGATCTCGTTATCGGACTTTCCCTTAGGGTCAAAGTCGGAGCCGCCCTTGCCGCCACCCATGGACAAGCCGGAGAGCGCATTTTTGAAGGTCTGCTCGAAGCCGAGGAATTTGAGGATGGAAAGACTGGTACTGATGTTAGCTCATCTAAGTATCGAGGTACGGCTCGCACTCACTTAACAGAGGGGTGCAGACGGAGGCCACCCTTGTAGGGACCGAGCGCAGAGTTATACTGAAGGTAATATATGATCAAAATGCTTCGGAGGTACCACGATGGCAGCCACGCACCTGGACACGGTATCCCCTGCTGACCTGTGACTTGCCCTGATCATCTTCCCACACCACACGGAACTGGATGACACGCTCCGGGATTTGCACAATCTCAAGTGCCTTCCTGTATTCGGGGTTAGCCTCCAAGAATTTGGTGAGACTCTGGCTGAGCTCGGCGAGTGCCTGCTCGAACTCGGGCTCGTAGGGCTGGACCATCTTTGGAAGCGAGATATGAGTGGGCTAGCTGAGGGACAACGTCGAGGACGACCTACCGTACGTCTCCTTTTTGTAGGCCTCGCACTCCGTAAGATCGATATGACTCCGAATCGTCGTGCTCGGCCGGCGACTATTCTTCGTGAACGCAAACGCCACCGTTGCTATCTTCAAGTCCTTATCATCCTATGGGAACCCTTCTTACCGCATACGTACACTGAAACTCGGCAGTCCTAAAAAATTAGAGCGGCCATAAGCACGTCAGCATTATCCGCGACGCTGGTTTCGGCCGTAAAGCGCGTAAAGTGACACTGCTCGAGTCTGAGGTAAATTCAACACGCTGTGCCGCGTTCATCCACAAGCGTTACCCCACGTTCGTCCCAGTGGCTTCACGCTTCGCAATACAGAGGGGCGGCTGTATAGACTGACCAGGTATGACGCACTCGAGCCGTCTTTCGTGCTACTGAATATCAGGACCTGCAATTACACACGGACAGTCGATCCTGGAGGACCGGGACGTCAGGAGTTACTGAGAAAGAGTGCTGTATGTGCAGATAAAGCAATAGGGACTCAGGTATGTGCGTACACGTTCATACTATGGCCGGCCTCGCGCAGCCAACCTTCTGCTTTTCCCTGGTCGGTTTGCAACACCAGCCTTCTTGCCGCCCTTGCCTCCGTCACGCACGGGCTTTCCGCCACCCTTGCGCGGCTCGAACGCGTCCGTCGACGACCTCGTATTCTGCTTCGCGCCCCGTCTGGGCCCGCCGAAGCCGAATTTCTTGTCCCGGGCCTCGCGCGAGGGGCCTCTCTTCCCACCAGGCTTGTCACCGCGCGCACGCTTTGTAGGTCGATCAGCAATCGCATCCTCGACGGCGACGTCAAAGCCATCGTCTTCCTGCGCATTATCGAAAGCGCCCTTGCGTTCTATAAAGGTGTATTAAGGATCAATAGTCGTCCCTGCAAAGTGCGGCTCAACGGACGTACTCCGCTTAAGGCCCTTGAGACGATCCTCCATCTCTTTTTTGCTGCGCTCTCGCTCCTTCTGTTTCTCAAGTTGCACCTGCTTACCGAACTTCTTGCCTTCGCGCTCCTTGCGCTTTTCCTCCGCGCGTTTGATGGTCGCGGTCTCGTCCAAAAGCCGTTGACGGATCCGCTCCATGTGTGCGTCGGATTTGACCATTTCGGCGAAGTAGTCAGAGGGTCGAGTGAACGGGAAGTTATGCTTCGCAGCAAGAGACTTGGCTTCTTGTGCGCAGTGCAGAGCTTGCTTGTAGCTAGAATTCATGTGTAAGTATTACATCTAGAGGGTAATACAATGAAGGGACACGTACAAGGCAAGCTCTCGGCTCAGGTCGTCGTCCACATCGACATCGACTGTGTGAGGATACGTGACGACCAAAGTCTCCGTCCACGGTATGGATGGGTCAAGCTTGATGCCGTCTCGTATCCGCTCCAGTGCAATCTGAGAATGCGACGATTCAGCCGTCTTTATTGAGATTAGTTGGCCAGTCTACACACCTTGTTGTCGATTTCAATTTTCTGCTGAGGAATAACATCATCATCGACCTCGTCCAGCTCATCAAGAGGGATAGCATCTTCTTCCTCATCCGCAGGTTCATTTTGTTCTTGTGCCTCACCGTGTTGCTCGTGCTCTTCTTCACCATTGGAGGCGTCTTCTTCTACTATCTCATCCCCTTCGTCACCTCGGCTCTCTTCGTCCTCGCCAGTGAGCGCTGCCAATGACGCACGGTCAAAGTCGTCCAGTCCGTCCTCACCAAGGGCTTTCATGAGCCGCTCCATGCCTCCTGCGTCCACGCCCTCGTCTTCACTGCCTTCTTCCTCGTCGCCGCTGTCCTCCTCATGACCTCCATCTTCGTCAGAGCTGGCTTCCTCCCATTCTCCGGCGCTGTCTGCTTCTGCCTCCTCGTCCTCGTCGCCTGGCTGCTCTGCGTGGCGAGGCTTGCTCGATGAAGGCCGACCCTTCTTCGCAGGCATCTGCAATTGTGCAGCAGAAGCAGCGGTAGCCGACTTGATCTGTGTCTGTGCTTTTGAGGCTTTCGGATTCGCCGGCATCGTCGAGAAGGAAGAGTACTTAAAGGTACACTAAATAGGGTTTTTTTTGCTAAGCGCTTGGTGCGGGATTGATGGTGGGATTGATTGACTCTTGCCCCGAACGACTGAGTCCTAGGTCCATTGCTTCGATGAGCATCCACATATTATGTTAATTATCACCAAAATTTGATACACATCCCCACCGACTATTGAGCAAACTGAAAACAATTTAGCGAGTGGCAAATTGCCGCTTTCTATGTGTATCGGAAGGAGCTGTGAACGGTCGTAGGCAGCGACCACAAATCGACACCCTTTACTGTACACTACTGCGTGCGTTATATTCTGACATGCTATCATAGTCCCGGTCGCTGATCTCGTCGTCGGCTATGTCACCGCCTTCGGGCAACCAGTCAGTGTCGGTCGTCATTTCGTCTGTAGGCGAAAGCTCCGACGGACGAGCGAGCCGGGGACTGAGCCAGTAACAGAAGCTGTGGGGCCAAGGACAGCAAGGGGTCAGATTACGACTTTTGCTCGTGCAGATGCGTCGCGTCGTTCGTCATTGGATTATTGTACCGCAGAGGGCCATTCAGCTAAGGCGATATGGTCGTCGCTATCGTCACTACCCAGAAGGGCGCGCAGCTATATGAGGAGCCGATCCCCGGGAAAGCCGTGAGTGTTCAAACACTGCGAGGACCATGAAGACCGATTCGTAGTGTTACAGAGAACAAAGGAGCCAGGGCGAAGAAACAAAGACATCATGATATCTTTGGGACATTTCTCAGACAGCGACAAGACGGCGCGATATGCCTTGAATTCGAACCACCATCGAGGATGCTGATATCGCAAGAAGCACTGGCTACAGACGGCGAAACGGTGGTCTGGACATAGTACCGTAAAAGAGGACGTACATTGAGAAACAGATTGTACAGTCGGCTTCGGATTTATATAATTGGAGAAGGCTGTAACGTCTGGCGGCGAGAAACCAGTATTGCGCGCGAAGGGCAAAGGGCAGATAGGCGGTCCCGGTCAGTAGTTGCGTAGCAGCGGGTTTCTCTACACTAGATTCAGCACCCTCGAGTTGAGTCTTCGCATGATCATCCCTGCGATTGAGGAGACAGAGGAAGGGCGTGATATGAGAGTTGGACACACACTTGCCTTATCCATTGTTCGTTCGCATCTCTCTCGCATTTCCTTTGATGTCAATGCCCTTGGGAGGTAGATAGAATCAGCAGAGGTCGCGGACAACGAGAGCGCCAGAAGGAGGCAGTCAGGAAGAGTGTGGTTCTCGACACAAGATTCAGCAATCTCGAGTAGATGTATGTTCACTGGTTCATCATTCGACGGGGACGAGGGAAGAGGAGACCTGAGCTAACGTGGGGTGCACATACCATGGCCATCACCTATCCAGCCCTGTATCCAAGCCACTGCTTCTGCTATGCGCGGGGTCAACGACAACGCGGAGCGTCCACTGGTCGATATCCGTCGGTCTCGCAATATGAGAACAGAACCCGAACGTTTGAATTATGGAGCGTATTTGTCCGTGCTAACAACATGGGCCTGCGCTGGAGGAATAAAGGTATTATGGGCAAAGCAAGAGGACTAGCTGTCGCGGCTAAAGCAGAGGAGATCACGAGCAACTGAAAAATTGCTTGCACGAGGGATTCGGACCGGAGTCCCGATGACCCGCCCCGCGCGCGTAGACGTGTTTCGAGGCCATCACATGCCCCGCTTCCTCTTTTCCACGGGCAGCCGTCGGGCGATCCCATATATAGGCCATCTAGCGCGCCCCTGACGCTCCTCTCCGTCCTCGGGCTCAACGTCTGTCAGAGAAAACCGCCATGCTACGCACCCGCTTCGTACACGCTTTACGCCCGCGGTTGGCTCGCCTCGCTAGCACCTCCACGCCGCCGCCGTCTGGGCTATGCCGCGCTGTGCTCGGCCTTGGTGCCGGTGTTCTACTCACATCAGCATTCTTCCTCACGCGTCCAACGCAAGCCAACTCGCTCATCAGCAAACAGCAAGTCGGTACAAGTACCGTGCCCGTCCATGACCCTCCCGCAAAGGGAATCAAGGTGGGCGCAGGCACGCTTGCGAAGGAACTGCGTGAGGCCTTGGGCGACGCGAACGGAAGACTGGACACGGTCTCGACAGACCCAGAGGTGTTGCACATACATGGTTACAGCGAGAACGACTACCACCCAGGTGCGCCGCTTCATACCCATTGCAGCTTCCAACTCACCTACCTTTCTTGTAGGTTCCGCTCCGACCGTCGTTGTCTTCCCGCGCTCGACTACCGACGTCGTCGCAATAGTCAAATTCGCGAATAAATATCTCATCCCAGTCGTCACCTACGGCGGCGGCACGTCGCTTGAAGGACACTGGCGCGCACCGTCAGGCGGAGCCATATGTGTTGATATGCGAGACATGGACAAGATACTCGAGATTCACGGTGCGTCATACATATCTTGCACAGCACAGTATCAAGTACTCGCTTACATTTCCCTACTCCTTCCTCCGCAACTGTCTTGCTTGCAACTGCGCCCGTGGGTTCATACCTGTCAACAACGCGTAATTGCTGTAATGTATATCATCACCGTTCCCGCCGCCGAATCAAATCCCTCATCCACATTTGACCCGCACATCTCGCCGCTATGGACGCCCCAAACCGTACTCTGCTCGACCGTCCACCATGCACTGCGCGGATCTTACGATATACAGAGGAAGATTCAGATCTCGTCTGCCAGCCCGGCGTCGGCTGGATGGAGATCAATGCTGAACTCGAGCGGCGTGGTATACCGCTCTTCTTTCCTGTATGTATCCTCGACCATGTTCCAGGCTTACATGCCTTGTCTTGTCTAATGCTGACACACACGCTCCTCTGGCCTGCAGATTGACCCCGCACCAGGGGCATCCATCGGCGGAATGGTCAGCACGGGATGCTCTGGTAGTACGTTCTCTCCTTTGTAGCTCAGGGGAGAGCAGGAATACTGATAACGTACATAGCCAATGCAGTGAGATATGGGACAGCAAAGGGCGAGTGGTTTCTGAATGTCGTACGTCCTTTCATCGCTGGCCTTCACCTTACATTCCCATCAACTGGCTTGGTGCCTTCGCATATCCCGCCATGGACCTTGCCCTCCTTTCTTCGTCACTCGCTATCCTGCATCGTGTCTATGGGCTCCGGTGGTGGTCTGACGTATTTCGGATTTATCGCATATTCTCAATGGCCGTCTTGTATCTGACGGTTGACATTACTGCACCAAGACTGTTGTACTCCCGTCCGGCGAGGTTATCAAGACACGCCAGCGATCGCGCAAGAGCAGTGCGGGCTTTGACACTACGAAGCTCTTCATTGGCGCTGAGGGCACGTTAGGGATTATCACTGAGGGTACGTCCTCTCTACTCTCCTCACCTACGAGACCAGACTGCTGTTTGGTCACAACCTTTCTCACTTGCGCGCTATTATAACTATCCGGCATCTTGCTGATTAGACATCTTGCAGTGACTATCCGCCTAGCACCAATTCTCCCGACGACAGTTGCTGTTGTGCAATTCCCTGATGTTCGTGCCGCAACTGAGGCGGTGCGGGAGATCGTAAACTCAGGCGTCGGAATACGTGCGTTCTTACCACTGCCTTCTGTTCGTCGTGAAACTGACCTACCTCTGTCTATGCTATCTCTCGCGACGTACCATGCATCTCTACTTGTTCTGCTTACTCACGGCATCATTAATGTTTCAGAATGCGTTGAGCTCTGCGACGACGCATTCATGCGCTCGACGAACCTGTACGGACAGAGCACACGGAAATGGCCTGAAAAAGACTCGCTCTTTATCAAGCTGCAGGGGTCGACGCCTACGATCATGGAAGAAGGGCGCAGCATCGTCGAGAAGGTGCGCTGGTTTGTTCCTGGGGTGTCTGTACCCTTGGACGGGTGGCACACTGTCAGCTGCATCAGGAATGCTAACGAGTTCGCCGACAGATCTGCACGGCTCACGGCGGGACGGACTTTACATGTGCCTCGTCAGACGCTGAGGCGAATGCACTTTGGTCGGACCGGAAAAATGCGCTATACTCAGGTCTGGCTCTGGTTGAGGGGAGCCGGGGATGGAGCACCGATGTCTGGTATGTTCTCTGACATTCACCAGGCACTGAACCAGAGGACTTATCAACGCTAACGATTCACTGGCTGGCAGCGTACCCGTGAGTAAGCTCCCCCAGCTTGTATATGAGACGAAGCAGGATATCGAGAGCAGCGGATTGGTGAGTACAATTGTCGGACATGTCGGCGACGGTGTGTATATCTATTGCACTCTCTTTACTCTTGCTCATGCTGCCCCACGTCTTCTTATACCGAACAAACTCACTCCCTTCAAATGTGGAGATAGGCAACTTCCATGCACTGTTGCTGTTCAAAAGTGAAGAGGAGCTTGCGATCGCGCGTGGCCTTGTACACAGGATGGTCGAGCGTGCAATACGGCTTGATGGCACATGTACGCTCCCCTATTAGGATTGAATGGACTTCGTTAACACTCATTAACATTCTTCAGGCACTGGCGAGCATGGTGTTGGGATTGGGAAACGTGAATATCTATATGAAGAGCTTGGTGCGGGCACAGTCAGGCTTATGAAGACAATCAAGCATGCGCTTGACCCATATAACCTATTCAACCCTGGAAAAGTATGCTCTCTTTTTTGTGGTGAGCTATATGCTGATACATGCACAGCTCTACCCAGATTCTCCTGGAGATGATGCTCAACCACACCTAGTCACGAGCTCTCATGCTGCTGCAGTAGTGCATGAGCAGGAGAAGGAGAAGAGATGCTGAGTAGCATGTAACAGCTAGTTTGCCAAAGCAATAGCCAGCTTTCTAAATGCATCTGCTTGTTAAGCCAGACAACTCGCATTACCAGTATTATGAGATTTGCATTGGACATGGACAGACTGTAGAACACTTGCTGCTGGTGGGTTCTCACAGTGGCCAGCTGCACACTCTGTGGTGCTCACTGCTTGCTAAAGGTAAGATTTGCATTCAGTGCAGTAGCTAGTGCAGACAATTTGCCTAGAGCAAATGATCCATGCTCACTACTGATGAGTGCTGTATGGTGCAGTCTGTAGTGTGATCCACCACTTTAATGGCAATAGCATGAGCAAGGCTACGCCAGCCCACTTGGAAACACTGCAGATATGACAAAAGGCAAGCAAAAGTAGTAATGAATAATGATGTACTTACACCAGCAGGTGGCAGTGAGGTTGGACCAACCTCGTGACAAGGTCTTGATAAGACATGCTCCAAATATCACAAATTGATCTGGTTCCAGGATCCCGGCAGGATACTTCAGCCAATTTTGAATCAGTGTTTGTGAGCAAGTCTGAAACAAGCTTTGGCGCATGGTCAGAACAGTGCTGGCTGGATGTTGCATTGATCTGAGCCTGGGACCAGCCTATAAACACATGCTAGGGCATGAATCATATACTATATATAGTAGCTCACACAGAATATAATATATCAAAAATGTCAACTAGAATATATTTAGGCTCTCAAAGTGTACATTGCCAGGTATCAACTAATGGACTTGGTACTAAATTAGGCTTTTTTGTCTTTCCATATATTGCTGATGTGTTACTCCCACTGGTCCAGAACTTGTCATTCAAGCTGCACAAAAATTTGGCATGTTCTCGTAGTGTTGTAATGAGGTGCGTGTCATGGCCACATGGTGGTAGCATTCATTGAAGGCTGCATTGAATGCTACTACCCAATGTTGTCATCATCCTCTTTTTATATTTAGATATGACATGCACAGAGCACACTTAGCTCTGGCATTCTTTTACTTTTTGCTATGTTTTCTTTAGTCTTGGCTTTCTAATGCACATTATATTTGACTGACTAGATTGGAAAGCAGTATAGCTATAAAAGAACATGTAGTAATATTCTTGGAATTTACTGTTGATTACTTGTGGATCTCCTGCCTGCACAATTTCATTCACAACAGGTTATGAGCCCCACACTCTAATCCTTAATCACCCACCTGCCAGATCCATTGCAGATCAATTCCTGCCTCCTTTTCTCAATCTATCAAGAGTCATTCCCGAGACATTACCAACAATCCCTATCTAGGCCTTCCCATCTAAGATCATTGTCATGTTGTCAATCAAAATCAAGGTCCTCAAGAGTGTGGAGAATTATTTCTCTTGGCAGATTCAGATCCAGGATGTTCTCACCAAGTTGAAGCTTATTGGCTATTCTCTTGGCACTATCACACAGCCCACAGACATGAAGCTCATTGAGTCCTGAACTGAGAAAGATCAGTTGGCACTGAGTAAAATTTGAATCTGATGTCCTGAACCAGGCTTTTAAAGCTTGTGAACTTTGAGCCTTGTCCTGTATATGACTGTACTAGATATAAAGTTAGCTTCTGTTATTATAAAATATTAATATTGTATAAACACTGACATTGCTGTTATGAGCAAAAGATTCATACTAAAGCAGTGCAAATAATAGGTACAGTGACAATCTAAAGTATTGCAACAGACTACAGAGGGGTGTTAAAATTCCTCAATATCTCCGCAAATATTACAGATGGCTGGACACATTGTATATGGTTTATAAACTGGAAAACTAGCTATATTTTCTCAAGGTATCGCCTTGTAGCAGAAGGTGTATGCCGGAAGAGTATATCAAAAATAGCTGAAAATATGCATATTTATCATATAATTTGTAGTATAATACAGATTGTAGAATAAAATTGACTCTGCACATATTAAAATGGAGCTAGTTGTATAGTATGTTTACAAATATAATAATGTGAGAAGACATCTATCTGAATGAACTGTAGGGCATATCACGTTGGCTTGTTTCTTTTGTAGCAGTTTGCACATATCTAACTCCACAATGTGGAGAGAAAACTTTCCCAAAATCTGTTTACAGTATGTATTTTACTAGGAGAGAGATATAGTAGCAAAATATAAGAACTTCAGCATCTGATTATGTTTGAAGCATATAAGTATACACTGTTGCATGTTGCAATGAATGTGATATGCTCTACAGTTCATTTAAATGGATGCCTAATCACATCATTATATTTGTACACATACTATACAACTAGCTCCATTTTAATATGTGCAGAGTCAATTTTATACCACAGTCTGTATTATACTACAAATTATATGATAAATATGCATATTTTCAACTATTTTTGATATACTCTTCCGGCATACACTTTCTGCTACAAGGCGATACCTTGAGAAAATACAGCTAGTTGTCCAGTTTATAAACCGTATACAATGTGTCCAGCCATCTGTAATATTCGTGGAGATATTGAGAAATCTTAGCACCCCTCTGTAGTCTGTTACAATACTTTAGGTTATCACTGTAGAAGTTTTGTGATATGGCAAGGAATGAAGAAATTGTACCTGCCGAGCACCTGCACTACGACCCACATCACCCTAGTATTTACATCTGAAAGTGCTCTCCAGAGTGCATTTTACTTTTTTCACAGTGCTTGCAATTTTTAATCACACAACCCACATTTTAACCACCAACCACACAGTTCAGTTACAATGGTTCCATGAGTTGTGAAGCATGCTGCATGACAAAATTCCAGTTAACTTAGATTAGCTATAGCTGGCCAGAAATAAAATAAAAGAATTCTTTGTAAAATTTACTAGCTTAAATGAAAATGAACCTGCTATACACACTTTCTAAATCAAGCCTCTATAGCTGCATATCAGTGTTTCTTCTATATTCTACTCTTCTCTTGGAGGGGGGTTGGTGGTTAAAATGTGGGTTGTGTGATTAAAAATCTGCAAGCACTGTGAAAAGAGTAAAATGCACTCTGGAGAGCACTTTCAGATGTAAATACTGTGAAATGGCAATATTCAGTGGCCAACAAGAAAAATACCCGATCGCGCAGTGGCGCACGATCAGGAAAGACATCATATTGTAAATACCCATATGAAGCAATACTGTGTAATGAAACAGTAATGTGTTAAAAACCCGATCGTGCAGCAGCGCGCGATCAGGAAAAACATCATATTGTAGACACTCATATGGAGCAATACCATGTGATGAAACAGTATTGTGTTAATAACCCGATCGTGCAGTGGTGCGCGATCAGGAAAAACATCACATCGTAGAGATTCATATAGAGCAATAGCATGTGATGAAACAGTATTGTGTTAAAAACCCGATCGTGCAGCGGCGCGCGATCAGGAAAAACATCATATTGTAGACACTCATATGAGGCAATATCATGTGATGAAACAGTATTGTGTTAAAAACCCGATCGTGGAGCGGCACGCGATCAGGAAAAACATCATATTGTAGACACATATAAAGCAATGCTGTGTGGTTATGGGTTGGAGGGTTGGAGGGAGCCGAGCCGAGCGAAGCGAGGCAAGATGACGTTGCTGAGGTGAGACTAGAATGCGAAGGTCCGAACTCTGTGAAGAGTTCCGGATGCTTTCGTAGTGATACTCATCAGCGCATTCCAGGAAGTACTTATACCTTGCGCCATGGGACCCCGAAGGAGGGGCAGTACCATGGACACCGCTGCCGAAGTCGAAGCCGTCGGACAGGTGCGTAATGGGCATTATGACTATCCGCGGTGTGATTGGCCGGCCCTCGGCAAAATCGGCGGACGGAGTCATTCTAACCTTGTAAGAGGCTCGGGCATACTATATGGAGATGGTCAGCAGGACCACTTTGATGCGACTTAAGACCGGTTAGCGCGGTCAAAAGATGATGTAGTTATGACATCATAGTCATGTGGTGGATCCAGACCGTCGGGGGACGGAATGATCCGCCATCACCACCCGCCGCCATCAAGCGCATCAGATGCGCCCAATAGCCGCCGGAACGATAAGCGCCTCGGTCGGCGCTTGTTCTGGGTCACGTGATTTAGACGCTTTCCTACCACGATCACGTGGGGGTTTAGGGTTGGGGGGAGCCGAGCCGAGCGAAGCGAGGCGAGGTGACGTTGCTGAGGTGAGACTGGAAGGCGAAGGTCCGAGTTCTGTGAGGAACTCCGGAGGCTTTCGTGGTGACACTCATCAGCGCATTCCAGGAAGTACTTATACCTTGCGCCATGGGACCCCGGGGAGGGGCAGGTACCATGGACACCGCGTGCCGAAGCCGAAGCCGTCGGACGGGTGCGTAAT